AAAAGGTACATGTTGAGGCAATAGGTCAATAATAAGTATATTCACCTACCTGCTTGACAACGGTATAAGGATCTTTACCGAAACATCCCCTACTATGCCCCCGTCACACTTATTAGGAATCAGCAGGAATCAAGCAGAACCAGCAGGAATGAGGTATTTTCAAAATTCGTGCCACATTCGGGAGGGAATTTCAAATTGACTAAGCTTTGTAAGAATGCCGTTCGAATACTTAGAATGCGCTTCAAACCCGCCTCGAATGATTCTTGCACATTCCGGTATGTTAGCTCTCGAATTCAGCTTGAATGTAGTTGTAACACAGTGGGAATATTTAGAATGCTGTTAGAATGCAGTCAGAATATATAGAATGCATTTCGAATGCCATACGAGTGCGGTTCGATTGAGCGAATACCGTCAGAAGTCTGGTTGGAAGGTGCCTCGAATGCTGTACGAATTCACCTCAAATGCAGTCAGAACGCTCCCGGAATGGCCGCCGAATATGGTTGGAACGTCCAAGAATTTAAACAGAATGCAGCTCAAATACTTAGAATGTAAACTGACGTCCAAAAGAAACTTTACCAGAGTTTGAAATCACTCTTGCTCAAAAACAACAAAACATACATGCATGAAGTAAAGTGTATTGAGAAGATCGATATATCAACATAATTAACATTGAAAATGACAATCATACCGCGACCCAGAATGACGTCAGTTCTTGCCGGTTCTCACTAACCCTGTGACCTAAGGCATTTGTCGCCGATGACGTCACTGTCAGGAAGCGATTTCGGAGGTGCAAGGTACGCAAGCACCGGTCATCATGGGGCATGGTCACCCTGGGTCTGCCTGTTCTTGGCCTGTCAGCAGTCCGCCCTGTCTGTCTGTTACGTTGCATCAAGTTGGTAACGGCAACACGGGAGCAACCGAAGGTTCGTGCAATATGGGTGTGGGTGGCTCCCATCTGTACCATACCCAAGGCTCGTTCACGTTGTTCGTGAGTCGTGGCATTTCTTTTGTGTTTTTTTATCACTGTGGATGTCTGACTTGCCGTTGCAATCGTTTTATACCCTTACCCGCACGTGCATTTGCAGTTGTCCGTGGTGCACGTGTTTTTCACTTTTTCGCGTGTTATCTCGCAAACATGTAACAGACGATTAACATTTTTGGCATACACCATTGTTTTTTAGGTTATGTGTTTTAGATAGACTTCATCGAAAAGTTTTTTATACTTTGTCTGAAATTTATATTTTCAGTTGGTAAAGTTTCTTTTGGACGTCAGTTTACTTTGAATGTACTTAGAATGTAACACAAATGTCCCGAGTGTATGAAGAATGCCGCCGAAATGCATTCCAGCTGATTTTTTTTAATATCGAAATAGATTCCGGCAGCAATCGAGATGCATTCGAGGTACATTCCGGCTCATTCGAGGCGCATTCTGGACATTCTGGCAGGATTTGAAGTCGCTTGGTGTTTCGATTCGCCCTCGAATGCGATCAGAATGTTTCGAATGCTGTTGGAATGCCGAGAGAATATTTAGAATGCAATCAAAGTGCAGTTAGAATACACTTAGAATGCCGTTCGATATTTCTCCACTTTGAATGCACCACGAAAGTTTTGAGCATGAGCAAAACATTCGGGCCGGCCACAAGAATGGGCCCGAATATTTGGAAGAATGCAGTCAGAAGTTTTAGAATGCACTTCGAATATCCAGGAATAAACAAAGAAGTTTCATTCCGACGGCATTCCGGCCCATTCCGCCTCTACTGTGACTAGGGTTTAGAAAGTAAATAAAGAAGTTGTTATCCATCAATTGTGTCTTCTCTGTCATCCGTCAACTTCTTAGTAATGCCCATCAAACAATTCATCGACCGATTTGATAATATGAAATACTCCCGTACAGAGAAGTCATTTCTTTTATTACATGGCTTAATGGTTTTGTTTCGATAATTCTAATTGGTAGTCCATCTAAATACGAAATAATTGAAACAATGACCACATATCTAACCAGCAAGAGTGAATGTGAGATGTACTATTGTATGACAATGTTGCAATACACAACACCTACGTTTCCTTACAATAAACAATTACATCTGAGCCTTCTGTGCCTTCTGAAAGGCTTACCGTTAGCTTGATTACCCCAAGCGTTCTACAAAAGCTGAACCTTGAATTCGGACCTCCCACACACTCATCAATTTCTGAGAAAAGCAAGTAAATGTCATTCAATAAATTTGATGCAGAACCATCACTGCCTATTCACATTTTAAACGCTACAAAACCATTTGCAGACATGATGATGAGGAAGTTATTATTATTATTATTATTATTATTATTATTATTTACAGATTAAAATATAAAATGCAGCAGAGAGATTGTTTGGGTGATTCTGGCACAGTCAGGCTGGTTAGGCTCATCTTCAGCTCAGGGCCTTTGCCCCTTCTACACGCAGCCCAGACAGCGATTGGGACTTCTCCCAGGAAGCGCTGCCTAGGCAAACCAACACAGAACTTTTCGGAGTATGTGAAGACTCCCCAACACTGCAGCCTTCTGCATTACCCAGATTGTCAGAAGGGCTGTATTCCTGGTAGCAAACCCGAGTACTCTCCCAATGTCAGTCAACAGATTGGGAAGTACCAAACCTAAGGCACCGAGAACAATGGGGAGTCGGACAACTTGGTACTCGGGATGCAAGCGTGACATTTCGAAAGCGAGGTCTGCATATTTGCCATGTTTTTCCCTCAATCTTGTCAATCACAGTAGTGCCAAAGGGGACAGAAAATACAATGATATAAATGATTTCATTGGATTTATCAAAAATGACAAGATCAGGTGTGTTGGCCTGGATACGTCTGTTGCTGTAAATGGGCCTATTCCAAAGAATTTAATTATCATCATTATTATTAGCAGTAGTAGTAGTAGTAGTAGTAGTAGTAGTAGTTGCAGTAGTAGTTACTGCATCTTTCCGAGGCAATTGCAAGAGCGTCCACTAGCCTTTTTATCAAAAGTCTTGTTTCTAGTAGGCTTTGATGTAGGCTAGTGGACACGCTTGCCCGGGGAAGATGTAGTTGCTGCTGCTGATGTTGGTTGTTGGAGCAGCAGCAGTAGTAGTAGTTGTTGTAGCTGCTACTGCTGATGTTGGTTGTAGTAGAAGTAGTAGTAGTGGAAGTAGCAGCAGCAATGGCAGTATTCATTAATGAGGACTGAGAAATGGCAACCATGACACCTGAATGTGTTTATCTGTATTTCTGTGTAAAGCCAGTAATGAGCTCCTCGTGTGGTGGGTGGGTGGGTGGGTGAGTGAGTGAGTGAGTGAGTGAGTGAGTGAGTGAGTGAGTTGGGTTAGAAGCCGCTTTGAACAGTATGTCGTGCATCGGCGTTTCAACGATTATGGGAGCCCAGTGGGACAGGCTCCGTATCTGGGTTCGAACCCACGTCCCGTGGAAGCCTGCACCACCCATCAGTTACCTAATTGTCAGACAATATTATATGCACACACGCAGCGTGTAATGATTACACTCGGACCCTATTTGTAGTCACAACTAGTTTGTGTAGTGAACATAACGTTGCTTAACTATTTTATTGTCGATCAGTCATTATTCTATAGACACACTCTCGACCTAGTCTCGCCATGGACATCTGACCGTTGAGCACTGCCTTTTGTGCAGTACACTATATACCTCACCTTTATTATTGAGTAAATGCGTAAAGTGCGAATTGGATTACCTGTGCATGATATCGATCACACTGAACACGTTGAAAGCTTGTGTCGAGAAACCACCAGATGTCCATTAAATACAGATCAGCAGTTATACGCCTACAATATCATATGAACAAACACATCAATATTGGCTGTTAACTCAGTTGGAAAATATTTGGATAAACGTCCATTGTTTAGGTATCAGAAGAGCGGACACGCATGATCACTGCATCTAGAGTAAAGAGAAGCTGTTTCAGTGATCAGGTTTAAGTTACGTTCATTATCACCGTGTATCCTGAAGATCCGGGGTAGAATAGGTCTTCAGCAACCCATGCTTGCCGTAAAAAGCGACTATGCTTGTCGTAAGAGACGACTAACGGATCGGGTGGTCAGGCTCGCTGACTTGGTTGATGCATGTCATCGTATCCCAATTGCGTGGATCAATGCTCATGATTTCAATCACTGGATTGTCTGGTCCGGACTCGATTATATACAGATCATATAACTGGAATATTGCTGGGTGCGGTATTAAACAAAAAAAAACAACAAAACAACAACCCGACACTATAACCGTGACATGCGGTTACTGTCACAGTAACTTCCACCGTGACAGTTACTACCCAAATCACTGTCAACAATTTTAAAGTTACCATCATCATCACCGTGGCTGAAAATTACAAACAGAGTTAAAAATGTACAGTAAAATACGTTTATAACGAACACGCCTATAACGAACTGACATAAAACGAACTTATTTTTGGTCCCGGCCATTTGCTGTATATTTGTTGTATATATGCATATAACGAACTACGGTTATAACGAACTTTAATTAGCGGTCCCTTTGAGTTCGTTATAACCGTAGTTTACTGTATACACTATTACAATACAGTAAACTACGGTTATAACGAACTGAAACGGACCACTAATTTTAGTTCGTAATATCCGTAGTTCCTTATAAGCATATATACAGCATATATAACAAATGGCCTTTTTAAAAAAATAAGTTCGTTATATCGGTCAGTTCGTTATAAGAGTGTTTGTTATAAACGTAGTTTACTGTGCTCCTATTTCATTTCAATATATGACCTCTACGATGAAATACAAGCTCAACAGCCTTGTTCGTAAAAAAGGATTAAATACCCAGAAATGTTACTTCATCTGTATAAAACGAATAATACTATGTAATACTTATATAAGCATGTATAAGCCCTACAATCAGTTGCGTTGATGAAGGGGAATGAAATCGAAACATCTTTATCCCAGCCCCATCTGTGACTCGAGCCAGCATCACCTAGCTCTATATAAGCGGTAATACCTACTCGAGTCATCACTGCAGGTCCGGACGTGACACGAACACAGACCGTTGAGAATTAAAATGTTTCTGGTTCTGTTAGTGTGCGCTGGGCTTTGGCTCGGAGAGGCCTCAGGTAAGTTGTTCAGATTTTTCTTAGAAGTTACTAACTGCATAATGCAGTGTATGGAGAGCACAATGAATGAGCTGTATGTAACACACCGGCTGATTAGCATTATATCATCAGCGTTTTCAGCAACCCATTCTTGCCGTAAAAGGTGATTATGCTTGTCGTAAGAGGTGACTGACGGGATCGGGTGGTCAGGCTCACTGACTTGGTTGATGCATGTTATCGTATCCCTATTGCGTGGATCGATGGTCATGATGTCAAACACTGGATTGTCTGGTCCAGACTCGATTATTTACAGGCCGTCGTCATATAGCTGGAATATTGCTGAGTGCGGCGTTAAACAACAAACAAACAAACATTAGCGTTATATTCATTTGTCTTTTTCTTAATGTCAGTTCTTATTACTGTTAGTATTTAAGGTTAATGTGTTAAAACCTGAACCATTTTTTGACGATAATTTCTTTACGTATAAACGAAAATATTTGAAATTTAATTATTTGTATTATTATTTAGCGACTACTTATACAATTCATCGTTTAATTTGAACTAGCATTTATTCTGTAAATCCGATCATAGTGTGCCTTTATTTAGTTCGACATATTTTTTATAAGAAATGAGATTATCGTACATTTTGCCATATGAAAGTTTCTTACAATCATTTAATCATAGCAAAAGCGCTAATCCTACATTTGAACACATACATATTCTGGCCCCCGTTCCACAAAGCGATCGTAGTGCTACGACTGTCGTAAGCCTGTGTTAAGTATGGGAGTTACGATAGCCTTAGCGCTTGTATCGCTCTGTGGAACGGGGCCTTGGATATCTGAATTATTCAATCATGGAATTGTTTATTATAAACTTGTGGGGTGATATCCATAAAATGTAGATGCGTATTATGCATGCATCTTGAATAAATCTATTGAAAACCGTACAATTTACGCAACTTTGACATGCTTCCTCCTTTATCTATTACATTGATGTTGCTGTCATCATTAATACAACAGATGAGGATTATGGTATCGTTAATCAATTCTTGTTGCGCTAACTAAAACTATGTTACGTCATATTCCATGTATCTACACTGTCTTACAGCGTTTAAACAGTTCTTCTCTCTATTTTTCATTAAAGCTTGAAAGAACAAAACACAACTAGACACTTGTAATTAGCTTAATTAATTACAGAATATTTAAACCTTAAAAGACTGCAGGAAGAATTTAATAACCTAGGAAAAAACCCGAGATTCACTCATTAAGTTAAAACAAGGATGACATTAATAAAAGCTACAAAACCCTTTCATAATCAAAAGAAATATTCTGCTAAATTGTGCGTCCATTCTGTGATCATTAAAAACATCCCTTGTAAGTATACATAATGTGAAAAACATACCTTAAGATATATTACGTGAAAAAACATACCTCATAGGTATATATAATGTGAAAAACATACCTCATGATATATTATGAGAAAAAAACATACCTCATAAGTATATATGATGTAAAAACATACTTTATGATATATTATGTGAAAAAACATACCTCATAAGTATATATAATGTAAAAACATATACCTTATAAGTTATATAATATAAAAAACTTACCTCATAAGTTTATATAATGTGAAAAACATACCTTTTAGATATATGTAACGTGATAAACATAATACTGTCGCGGCTCTTTGTATTCTGCTTCATAAATGTTAAGGGGCGGTCGGGTAGCCTAGTGGTTAAAGCGTTCGCTCGTCACTCAGAAGACCAGGGTTCGATTCCCGACATGGGTACAATATGTGAAGCCCATTTCAGGTGTCCCCTGCCGTGATATTGCTGGAATATGCTAAAAGCGGCGTAAAACCATACTCACTCACTCACTCATAAATGTTAAGATTTCAAACCACTACTTTATCCAGGGTGATTATTTTGCGCGGTTCAATTTGCATTGTGCAGCTGAAGAAGTAATTATGGATGACACAGTAATTTCCCAGGTTAACAAAATGACTACAAATTCGTCCATTTCGGCATGCTGAATCAAAGACATATTACCAACATTTAGAATCCCCTGATGTTGTAACCATGAAGTAACGTGGTGTGACAAAAAAGGGGCGGTACCGGCCTGAAAATGGTTCTTATTATTTTTAAATTTCAAAATCACGACATAAGAGGGAAAGTCGATGCATATAGTGAGGTTTAGAGCATTTAATCTTCCAATGTCGGAGTTGGAATGCTGATTTGTGAGAGCGAGTTTGAGCTTTGGTGCACTTCATCATTCACAATAAGCCAAATGTGCTGAAATTCCACAGTTTGTTTAATAGTACAAAATATGTGTTAAACAAATGATATAAATTTTGTCCTGGGTATTGTAAATTGTTAGATATTATAAACAACCTGTCCTGCAGCCATGTAACTTAAATATCCGACATGGTTGGTTGCATATGACTATATCGGATGTATTTATGTTGGGTCTTCACATGCCACGATCTGTGGCCAGAAAAACAAATAAAGTCATGTCATTATATCATGAAAAAAGTGCGACGTTGAGCTTCCGAATTCCCATTTCTGGAATGAGGTAGCAAACTTAATTGTCAAACACTCGCTAATCCAAACACTCGCTAATGACTTGGCTACAAATACCACTAAATCAACCCTTTAATAATAAGGACGAATGCCATTTCACAAAGCTATTACACGTTACGATGACTGAGTCAACCAGAAAATAGTGGTTTATTGAAATGTGTTAATGGTATTATCATGGCAGTTTTTCAATCACCTCAGTAGGAAAACAGTTGCTTGTTTTTTTTTAAAAGCAGGAGCGTATGCTGTAATTGGCAATTCACGTTAAGTAATCGTTTAATTTTGATGCAAACAGATCACCAAGTTAGTCATAGAGTTATACTTTACATTTTGTATAGCTGGTCCACTCTACACTTGCCGAATGTAGAAATGTTAATTGGCATGTCCCCTTCCCCTTCTGTGTCCGCGTATGATGTAGTAACGTTGTAACACAAGGGAAACGGTTCGTGTTAAATTTAGAATCAAATCAAAAGCTCTCCCTGAGTCATGATATTTTATTGTAGGAACTGGAAATTACGTCAGTATAAATCAATATGTCCCTAAACTTCGAACTTACTACTTCAAAACATCAGTCGTCCCAGAGGTACCGCCATGGCAGGCATCACGTGACAACAATACGCCAGTTACGTGCTTCGCCGCCCTTCCGAAGAGCTGTGAACGGTTATGAAGGAAAACGCAGACAATCTGCTGTTAAACTCGCGTGGGCCTGTTTTGTGTGACAAAGCGTAAGGTGGTTAATGTGTGGCAAAACATGACGACATCCTCGTTAGCTGCTCCGTTGAGTTAAAGTAGCTGACTCCTTTCATTCTCATGCATTTAGTGCACAGAGGTCCTAAAGAAGCTACCGTATTTTCTCCATTAAACGCAGGGACACGAATAAACGTCGGGTGTCGATTCAACACCAGGCCTCGATTAAACGCCGGGTGGTTTTAATGCACGGAAGTCTCCCCATTATTTTGTATCTTTGCGAGTAAACGCCGGGGTTAGGTAAAGAGTGCTGAAAGAAATATAGGACCGAGCGCTTAATGGGGGAGATACGGTAACCATGTCACACTCTCTGGTCACATGCCATCAAACAGGGTCTAAATACCATGCAAGCTAAAATACACCCGATTGAATCATTTTATTTGTTCCCGATAACTTGAAGCTTTGGACTTCATCATCAAAGACATAGCTCTAGATAAATGTGTGAACAAACAACTTTCATCGTGTTGTCAGTACTGCTAAAGAATGAACTTGGATCAATCTCCTGATCATTTTAAGATAATTGTATCCAGGACATTTCTGCAATTCCAGTGTGGTCAAACTGGCGAAATATCTTGCAGCAAAATTTATCAAACTGCATCAGCTAACGTCAAATAGAAACGCAAGTCATTGCAACGAGAGAAGAGAGCCGTCATTGACGACCTGTAATGGTAGACGCGTTTAGTCACTGAAACAAACATAATGGTTGACTCGGTCAGTCATTGCAAGTGTTGTAATGATAGACGCGTTCAGTCAATGAAACAAATATGATGGTTGACTCGGTCGGTCATTGTAAGTGTTGTAATGGTAGACACGTTTAGTCACTGAAACAAATATGATGGTTGACTCGGTCGGTCATTGTAAGTGTTGTAATGGTAGACGCGTTCAGTCACTGAAACAAACATGATGGTTGACTCGGTCAGTCATTGTAAGTGTTGTAATGATAGACGCGTTCAGTCACTGAAACAAATATAATGGTTGACTCGGTCGGTCATTGTAAATGTTGTAATGGTAGACACGTTTAGTCACTGAAACAAATATAATGGTTGACTCGGTCGGGCATTGTAAGTGTTGTAATGATAGACGCGTTCAGTCACTGAAACAAATATAATGGTTGACTCGGTCGGTCATTGTAAGTGTTGTAATGATAGACGCGTTCAGTCACTGAAACAAATATGATGGTTGACTCGGTCGGTCATTGTAAGTGTTGTAATGATAGACGCGTTCAGTCACTGAAACAAATATAATGGTTGACTCGGTCGGTCATTGTAAGTGTTGTAATGGTAGACACGTTTAGTCACTGAAACAAATATGATGGTTGACTCGGTCGGTCATTGTAAGTGTTGTAATGGTAGACGCGTTCAGTCACTGAAACAAACATGATGGTTGACTCGGTCAGTCATTGTAAGTGTTGTAATGATAGACGCGTTCAGTCACTGAAACAAATATAATGGTTGACTCGGTCGGTCATTGTAAGTGTTGTAATGATAGACACGTTTAGTCACTGAAACAAATATGATGGTTGACTCGGTCGGTCATTGTAAGTGTTGTAATGGTAGACACGTTTAGTCACTGAAACAAATATAATGGTTGACTAGGTCGGGCATTGTAAGTGTTGTAATGATAGACGCGTTCAGTCACTGAAACAAATATAATGGTTGACTCGGTCGGTCATTGTAAGTGTTGTAATGGTAGACACGTTTAGTCACTGAAACAAATATGATGGTTGACTCGGTCGGTCATTGTAAGTGTTGTAATGGTAGACGCGTTTAGTCACTGAAACAAACATGATGGTTGACTCGGTCAGTCATTGTAAGTGTTGTAATGATAGACGCGTTCAGTCACTGAAACAAATATAATGGTTGACTCGGTCGGTCAGTGTAAGTGTTGTAATGATAGACACGTTTAGTCACTGAAACAAATATGATGGTTGACTCGGTCGGTCATTGTAAGTGTTGTGATGGTAGACGCGTTTAGTCACTGAAACAAATATGATGGTTGACTCGGTCGGGCATTGTAAGTGTTGTAATGATAGACGCGTTCAGTCACTGAAACAAATATAATGGTTGACTCGGTCGGTCATTGTAAGTGTTGTAATGATAGACACGTTCAGTCACTGCAACAAATATGATGGTTGACTCGGTCGGTCATTGTAAGTGTTGTAATGATAGACACGTTTAGTCACTGAAACAAATATGATGGTTGACTCGGTCGGTCATTGTAAGTGTTGTAATGGTAGACGCGTTTAGTCACTGAAACAAATATGATGGTTGACTCGGTCGGGCATTGTAAGTGTTGTAATGATAGACGCGTTCAGTCACTGAAACAAATATAATGGTTGACTCGGTCGGTCATTGTAAGTGTTGTAATGATAGACACGTTCAGTCACTGAAACAAATATGATGGTTGACTCGGTCGGTCATTGTAAGTGTTGTAATGATAGACGCGTTCAGTCACTGAAACAAATATAATGGTTGACTCGGTCGGTCATTGTAAGTGTTGTAATGGTAGACACGTTTAGTCACTGAAACAAATATGATGGTTGACTCGGTCGGTCATTGTAAGTGTTGTAATGGTAGACGCGTTCAGTCACTGAAACAAACATGATGGTTGACTCGGTCAGTCATTGTAAGTGTTGTAATGATAGACGCGTTCAGTCACTGAAACAAATATGATGGTTGACTCGGTCGGTCATTGTAAGTGTTGTAATGATAGACACGTTTAGTCACTGAAACAAATATGATGGTTGACTCGGTCAGTCATTGTAAGTGTTGTAATGATAGACACGTTCAGTCACTGCAACAAATATGATGGTTGACTCGGTCGGTCATTGTAAGTGTTGTAATGGTAGATGTAAGAACAGTCAGTATTTCCAGTGAATGCTATTTTTTCAGCTTACAGTTGGAATGGTAGACATGTTCAAACGTGTAAGGATTGTAACAGTTGTAACATGGTTGACAGACAAGTCCTGGGTACAGCTGTAGATATATAGTGTCATGGATGAGTCAGTGTGCCAGTTGTTACTACATAGTGTACATGGATCAGTCAGTGTTACATCTGTAACTACATAGTGTACATGGATGAGTCAGTGTTACATCTGTAACTACATAGTGTACATGGATCAGTCAGTGTTACATCTGTAACTACATAGTGTACATGGATCAGTCAGTGTTGCATCTGTAACTACATAGTGTACATGGATCAGTCAGTGTTACATCTGTAACTACATCGTGTACATGGATCAGTCAGTGTTACATCTGTAACTACATAGTGTACATGGATCAGTCCGTGTTACATCTGTAACTACATAGTGTACATGGATCAGTCAGTGTTACATCTGTAACTACATAGTGTACATGGATGAGTCAGTGTTGCATCTGTAACTACATAGTGTACATGGATCAGTCAGTGTTACATCTGTAACTACATAAGGTGCGTTGATCAGTCAGTGTTACAGCTGTAACTACATGATGTACATGGATCAGTCAGTGTTACATCTGTAACTACATACTGTACATGGATCAGTCAGTGTTACATCTGTAACTACATAGTGTACATGGATCAGTCAGTGTTACATCTGTAACTACATAGTGTACATGGATCAGTCAGTGTTACATCTGTAACTACATAAGGTGCGTTGAACAGTCAGTGTTACATCTGTAACTACATAGTGTACATGGATCAGTCAGTGTTGCATCTGTAACTACATAGTGTACATGGATCAGTCAGTGTTACATCTGTAACTACATCGTGTACATGGATCAGTCAGTGTTACATCTGTAACTACATCGTGTACATGGATCAGTCGGTGTTACATCTGTAACTACATAGTGTACATGGATCAGTCAGTGGGTACTACAAAGTTACAGCTATAACACTGACTGACCCATGCACACAGCTGAAACATTGACTGATCCATGCATGTAATCAATGTTACAACTGTAACTATATAGTGTCATGGATCAGTCAGTGTTACAGCTGTTGCGTGGATCAGTCAGTGTTACAGCCGTAACTACATAATGTCATGGATCAGTCAGTGTTACAGCTGTTGCATGGATCAGTCAGTGTTACAGCCGTAACTATATAATGTCATGGATCAGTCAGTGTTACAGCTGTGTTTCTTCTGACAGACAGAGATGATCTTCAGCGTGAGCTGGAGACGGTGGCGGATGGTGAACGTCAGTTTCAAAAGGGAAGCAAGTTAGGGGGCATTCTGGCCCGGGAGCAAGCCCGCTTGAGCATGAGACTCACCACGTAAGTACATGTACAATATCTCCTTCCTCACAGGGTAGTCTAGTGGTTAAAGCGTTCGCTCGTCACGCCGAAGACCAGGGTTCGATTCCCGACATGGGTACAATGTGTGAAGCCCATTTCTGGTGTCCCCCGCCGTGATATTGCTGGAATATTGCTAAAAGCGGCGTAAAACCATACTCACTCACTCCTCACAGGGTACGAGTTAGTATATCGTAGTCGATAGAAGATATCGATATCCATTTAGCTATAGTGATTTGAATATGTTCTATCTGAATGCGTAGAATCTGGCATCGTAATACCACGTAAGGATATACCTGGTCAATTTTATTTCATACAAACCAGGTGACGTCATTATCAATACGACATGTACTAAGACAAATATCATTGCCATTGGTGGGCACGGGTATGGTGGTGGCCCAGTGGTCATAGTCGCGACAATTTGCTGTGGAGAGTTGCATTTCTTACTCAGGCCAGAAACATTTGATTGTTGGCTCGAATACCGGTCCGTATTATTATGTTTCTAGGTTTGGCAACACCTAGCGTGCTCGTGAAGATCCGGGGTAGTATAGGTCTTCAGCAACCCATACTTGCCGTAAAAGGCGACTCTGCTTGTCGTAAAAGGCGACTAACGGGATCGGGTGGTCAGGCTCGCTGACTTGGTTGATGCATGTCATCGATCCCAATTGCATGGATCGATGTTCATGATGTCAATCACTGCATTGTCTGGTCCAGACTCGATTATTTACAGACCGCCGTCATATAGCTGGAATATTGCTGAGTGCGGCGTAAAACAACAAACCAAACCAACCGTGCTCGTGGGTTCCTTCAAAATGATAAACGTCTAAGACCTGCAACATTTCGGGCTTTCTTCCCACTAGAAACTGACACGCCGTGATATTGCTCAAAATATTGTTCTAAGCGGCGTTAAACCAACCTTCCCGAGGCAAACGTGTCCACTAGCCTATATCTAAGCCTAGTTTCTACCCTTGCCACACCAAGGCTACTTTTCTTGCCTCGACTCTGGTAGATCACGAGATGCGCGCCCCTTGTAATGGAAACGGGATATCCAATCAGTTTTTATCTCGTATAGCTACTATAGGCGACGACCAAGTCGATCAGACAACGAAAGCATTCGCGATTTCACCCCTGACACAAAAAACATAGGCAATCGCTGAGGGTTTAAAAGATGAAAAAGACATATTCCAGCATTAAATCACTTACATACGAATGTGTACCCGTCGTTGATGTTGATTTTGTGAAACGTTCTCTGATTGGGCTATCGATATGTGCGAAAGTCCAATCATATTTAGCATAGGAAAGTGGGCTTGGTGTGGAAATTGTGGAAACAAGACTTTGATATATAAAAAAGGCTAAGGGACGCTCCTGCCTCGGGAAGATGCGTTAAATCCAACACGGTCACGCAATAGCTGACGTTTGCTATAAACCACTTTCAGAGAGTGTAAGGACACGTTCACCTACCGACCGCTAGATGGCGTCTGTAACAACCTGAAAAATCAAGGATGGGGAGCGCCCCTACAAGAGATGAGGAGGATCCTCGATCCAGAATATGATGATGGTACGTCTTTTTAGTGAAATATAATAATTCAAAATAGTTTAGTAATGTTGCGACTCTGGACCAGACATTCTGCATCAATATACGCATTTGGGATACGATGCCATGCGTCGACCAAGTCATGGATCCCGTAAGTCGCCTGTTACGACACGCATGGGTTGCTGAAGACCAATTCTAACCCGGATCTTCACGGCGTTCGCCCCTGGTTGAGAAACATGTTGAGGTATTTAGGCAAATACTGCTGAAAAATGTTTCTTTCATAGCGTAACGTGAGCACTCGGCGGTACAATGGATCCCCAGTAACCCATGCTTGTCGTATGCTGCCACTAATTTGAATCGGTTGGTCAGGCTGCATGTCATTGTGTTCCGATGCTGTGGGCCGTTTCTCATGCCTTAGGTCACCGCTTTCTTTGTCAAGTCTCGATTCTATACTTACCGCGGCGCATAACAACATTCACCCACTTACTTATTTCAGATTGTGTCCCCCACCGTGATATTGCTGGACTTTTGTTAAAAGCGGCGTAAAACCATACTCACTCACTCTTTCAGATCATGCTAAACCTCGCGCGTATGGAAAGGATGAAAATCTCCTACCCAGCGCCAGGAAGGTCAGCACGGAGTGCTTTCCCTTTGATAGCAAGTATACAGAGGACAAGCCCTTCTCCCAGATGGTGATGCAGTGGGGGCAGTTCCTGGACCACGACATCACGGGCACGCCAGGGACTGGAGGTGAAACTTCCCACATCTCTGTCCTCATCCCTCCCAGTTTCATGTTCCTAGATGGAGTTGTAGCAGCCATTGCTGTAGTGGTTGAAGGAAGAAGAAGTTGTCTGTGCAGCCGTAGCTTGTCGTCGTAGAAAGAAGAGAGGTCGATGGGGATTATACACGGAACACAGTCATCATATATTTATCTATTCCAATTTATCGCCTGTCCATCAGAGATTTGATATAAGAAAACAACAAATCTTCTTTTAAGTTTATATGACCTACAAGTAGTGGTAGCAATCGTTGAGTGGTCGTTGAGTGGTAGTTACTGTGGTAGTAGTAGTAGTAAGAGTGGTAGTTGTAGTAGTAGTAGTAAGAGTGGTAGCTACTGTGGTAGTAGTACTGGTAGTTGTAGTAGTGATAGTAGTAGAAGTTGTTGTTGTCGTTGAAGTAAGAGTGGTAGTAACTGTAGCAGTTATAGTAGTAATCGTAGTAGTAGTAGCAACTGTTGTCGTTGAAGTAAGAGTGGTAGTAACTGTAGCAGTTATAGTAGTAATCGTAGTAGTAGTAGCAACTGTTGTCTTTGAAGTAAGAGTGGTAGTTACTGTAGTAGTAGTAGTAGTCATAATCGTAGTAGTAGTAGCAATTGTTGTCTTTGAAGTAAGAGTGGTAGTAACTGTAGCAGTTATAGTAGTAATCGTAGTAGTAGTAGCAACTGTTGTCTTTGAAGTAAGAGTGGTAGTAACTGTAGCAGTTATAGTAGTAATCGTAGTAGTAGTAGCAACTGTTGTCTTTGAAGTAAGAGTGGTAGTAACTGTAGCAGTTATAGTAGTAATCGTAGTAGTAGTAGCAACTGTTGTCTTTGAAGTAAGAGTGGTAGTAACTGTAGCAGTTATAGTAGTAATCGTAGTAGTAGTAGCAACTGTTGTCTTTGAAGTAAGAGTGGTAGTAACTGTAGCAGTTATAGTAGTAATCGTAGTAGTAGTAGCAACTGTTGTCTTTGAAGTAAGAGTGGTAGTAACTGTAGCAGTTATAGTAGTAATCGTAGTAGTAGTAGCAACTGTTGTCTTTGAAGTAAGAGTGGTAGTAACTGTAGCAGTTATAGTAGTAATCGTAGTAGTAGTAGCAACTGTTGTCTTTGAAGTAAGAGTGGTAGTAACTGTAGCAGTTATAGTAGTAATCGTAGTAGTAGTAGCAACTGTTGTCTTTGAAGTAAGAGTGGTAGTAACTGTAGCAGTTATAGTAGTAATCGTAGTAGTAGTAGCAACTGTTGTCTTTGAAGTAAGAGTGGTAGTAACTGTAGCAGTTATAGTAGTAATCGTAGTAGTAGTAGCAACTGTTGTCTTTGAAGTAAGAGTGGTAGTAACTGTAGCAGTTATAGTAGTAATCGTAGTAGTAGTAGCAACTGTTGTCTTTGAAGTAAGAGTGGTAGTAACTGTAGCAGTTATAGTAGTAATCGTAGTAGTAGTAGCAACTGTTGTCTTTGAAGTAAGAGTGGTAGTAACTGTAGCAGTTATAGTAGTAATCGTAGTAGTAGTAGCAACTGTTGTCTTTGAAGTAAGAGTGGTAGTAACTGTAGCAGTTATAGTAGTAATCGTAGTAGTAGTAGCAACTGTTGTCTTTGAAGTAAGAGTGGTAGTAACTGTAGCAGTTATAGTAGTAATCGTAGTAGTAGTAGCAATTGTTGTCTTTGAAGTAAGAGTGGTAGTAACTGTAGCAGTTATAGTAGTAATCGTAGTAGTAGTAGCAACTGTTGTCGTTGAAGTAAGAGTGGTAGTAACTGTAGCAGTTATAGTAGTAATCGTAGTAGTAGTAGCAATTGTTGTCTTTGAAGTAAGAGTGGTAGTAACTGTAGCAGTTATAGTAGTAATCGTAGTAGTAGTAGCAACTGTTGTCTTTGAAGTAAGAGTGGTAGTAACTGTAGCAGTTATAGTAGTAATCGTAGTAGTAGTAGCAATTGTTGTCTTTGAAGTAAGAGTGGTAGTTACTGTAGCAGTTATAGTAGTAATCGTAGTAGTAGTAGCAACTGTTGTCTTTGAAGTAAGAGTGGTAGTAACTGTAGCAGTTATAGTAGTAATCGTAGTAGTAGTAGCAACTGTTGTCTTTGAAGTAAGAGTGGTAGTAACTGTAGCAGTTATAGTAGTAATCGTAGTAGTAGTAGCAACTGTTGTCGTTGAAGTAAGAGTGGTAGTAACTGTAGCAGTTATAGTAGTAATCGTAGTAGTAGTAGCAATTGTTGTCTTTGAAGTAAGAGTGGTAGTTACTGTAGTAGTAGTAGTAGTCATAATCGTAGTAGTAGTAGCAATTGTTGTCTTTGAAGTAAGAGTGGTAGTAACTGTAGCAGTTATAGTAGTAATCGTAGTAGTAGTAGCAATTGTTGTCTTTGAAGTAAGAGTGGTAGTAACTGTAGCAGTTATAGTAGTAATCGTAGTAGTAGTAGCAATTGTTGTCGTTGAAGTAAGAGTGGTAGTAACTGTAGCAGTTATAGTAGTAATCGTAGTAGTAGTAGCAATTGTTGTCGTTGAAGTAAGAGTGGTAGTAACTGTAGCAGTTATAGTAGTAATCGTAGTAGTAGTAGCAACTGTTGTCTTTGAAGTAAGAGTGGTAGTAACTGTAGCAGTTATAGTAGTAATCGTAGTAGTAGTAGCAACTGTTGTCGTTGAAGTAAGAGTGGTAGTAACTGTAGCAGTTATAGTAGTAATCGTAGTAGTAGTAGCAATTGTTGTCTTTGAAGTAAGAGTGGTAGTTACTGTAGTAGTAGTAGTAGTCATAATCGTAGTAGTAGTAGCAATTGTTGTCTTTGAAGTAAGAGTGGTAGTAACTGTAGCAGTTATAGTAGTAATCGTAGTAGTAGTAGCAATTGTTGTCGTTGAAGTAAGAGTGGTAGTAACTGTAGCAGTTATAGTAGTAATCGTAGTAGTAGTAGCAATTGTTGTCTTTGAAGTAAGAGTGGTAGTAACTGTAGCAGTTATAGTAGTAATCGTAGTAGTAGTAGCAATTGTTGTCGTTGAAGTAAGAGTGGTAGTAACTGTAGCAGTTATAGTAGTAATCGTAGTAGTAGTAGCAATTGTTGTCGTTGAAGTAAGAGTGGTAGTAACTGTAGCAGTTATAGTAGTAATCGTAGTAGTAGTAGCAACTGTTGTCTTTGAAGTAAGAGTGGTAGTAACTGTAGCAGTTATAGTAGTAATCGTAGTAGTAGTAGCAATTGTTGTCTTTGAAGTAAGAGTGGTAGTTACTGTAGTAGTAGTAGTAGTCATAATCGTAGTAGTAGTAGCAATTGTTGTCTTTGAAGTAAGAGTGGTAGTAACTGTAGCAGTTATAGTAGTAATCGTAGTAGTAGTAGCAATTGTTGTCGTTGAAGTAAGAGTGGTAGTAACTGTAGCAGTTATAGTAGTAATCGTAGTAGTAGTAGCAATTGTTGTCTTTGAAGTAAGAGTGGTAGTAACTGTAGCAGTTATAGTAGTAATCGTAGTAGTAGTAGCAATTGTTGTCTTTGAAGTAAGAGTGGTAGTTACTGTAGTAGTAGTAGTAGTCATAATCGTAGTAGTAGTAGCAACTGTTGTCTTTGAAGTAAGAGTGGTAGTAACTGTAGCAGTTATAGTAGTAATCGTAGTAGTAGTAGCAACTGTTGTCTTTGAAGTAAGAGTGGTAGTAACTGTAGCAGTTATAGTAGTAATCGTAGTAGTAGTAGCAACTGTTGTCTTTGAAGTAAGAGTGGTAGTTACTGTAGCAGTTATAGTAGTAATCGTAGTAGTAGTAGCAACTGTTGTCTTTGAAGTAAGAGTGGTAGTAACTGTAGCAGTTATAGTAGTAATCGTAGTAGTAGTAGCAATTGTTGTCTTTGAAGTAAGAGTGGTAGTAACTGTAGCAGTTATAGTAGTAATCGTAGTAGTAGTAGCAACTGTTGTCGTTGAAGTAAGAGTGGTAGTAACTGTAGCAGTTATAGTAGTAATCGTAGTAGTAGTAGCAATTGTTGTCGTTGAAGTAAGAGTGGTAGTAACTGTAGCAGTTATAGTAGTAATCGTAGTAGTAGTAGCAACTGTTGTCGTTGAAGTAAGAGTGGTAGTAACTGTAGCAGTTATAGTAGTAATCGTAGTAGTAGTAGCAACTGTTGTCGTTGAAGTAAGAGTGGTAGTAACTGTAGCAGTTATAGTAGTAATCGTAGTAGTAGTAGCAACTGTTGTCGTTGAAGTAAGAGTGGTAGTAACTGTAGCAGTTATAGTAGTAATCGTAGTAGTAGTAGCAACTGTTGTCGTTGAAGTAAGAGTGGTAGTAACTGTAGCAGTTATAGTAGTAATCGTAGTAGTAGTAGCAACTGTTGTCGTTGAAGTAAGAGTGGTAGTAACTGTAGCAGTTATAGTAGTAATCGTAGTAGTAGTAGCAACTGTTGTCGTTGAAGTAAGAGTGGTAGTAACTGTAGCAGTTATAGTAGTAATCGTAGTAGTAGTAGCAACTGTTGTCGTTGAAGTAAGAGTGGTAGTAACTGTAGCAGTTATAGTAGTAATCGTAGTAGTAGTAGCAACTGTTGTCTTTGAAGTAAGAGTGGTAGTAACTGTAGCAGTTATAGTAGTAATCGTAGTAGTAGTAGCAATTGTTGTCTTTGAAGTAAGAGTGGTAGTAACTGTAGCAGTTATAGTAGTAATCGTAGTAGTAGTAGCAACTGTTGTCGTTGAAGTAAGAGTGGTAGTAACTGTAGCAGTTATAGTAGTAATCGTAGTAGTAGTAGCAATTGTTGTCTTTGAAGTAAGAGTGGTAGTAACTGTAGCAGTTATAGTAGTAATCGTAGTAGTAGTAGCAATTGTTGTCTTTGAAGTAAGAGTGGTAGTAACTGTAGCAGTTATAGTAGTAATCGTAGTAGTAGTAGCAACTGTTGTCGTTGAAGTAAGAGTGGTAGTAACTGTAGCAGTTATAGTAGTAATCGTAGTAGTAGTAGCAATTGTTGTCTTTGAAGTAAGAGTGGTAGTAACTGTAGCAGTTATAGTAGTAATCGTAGTAGTAGTAGCAATTGTTGTCTTTGAAGTAAGAGTGGTAGTAACTGTAGCAGTTATAGTAGTAATCGTAGTAGTAGTAGCAACTGTTGTCGTTGAAGTAAGAGTGGTAGTAACTGTAGCAGTTATAGTAGTAATCGTAGTAGTAGTAGCAATTGTTGTCTTTGAAGTAAGAGTGGTAGTAACTGTAGCAGTTATAGTAGTAATCGTAGTAGTAGTAGCAATTGTTGTCTTTGAAGTAAGAGTGGTAGTAACTGTAGCAGTTATAGTAGTAATCGTAGTAGTAGTAGCAACTGTTGTCGTTGAAGTAAGAGTGGTAGTAACTGTAGCAGTTATAGTAGTAATCGTAGTAGTAGTAGCAACTGTTGTCTTTGAAGTAAGAGTGGTAGTAACTGTAGCAGTTATAGTAGTAATCGTAGTAGTAGTAGCAATTGTTGTCTTTGAAGTAAGAGTGGTAGTAACTGTAGCAGTTATAGTAGTAATCGTAGTAGTAGTAGCAACTGTTGTCTTTGAAGTAAGAGTGGTAGTAACTGTAGCAGTTATAGTAGTAATCGTAGTAGTAGTAGCAACTGTTGTCTTTGAAGTAAGAGTGGTAGTTACTGTAGTAGTAGTAGTAGTCATAATCGTAGTAGTAGCCATTGTTTTCTTTGAAGTAAAGGTGTTATTTACCATGGTAGTAGTGGTAGTAGTAGTAGTAGTAGTAGTAGTAGTAGAAGTAGTAGTAGTAGTAGAAATTGTCTTTGAAGTAAGAGTGGTAGTTACTGTAGTAGTAGCAGTAGTAGTAGTCGTAGTCCTAGAAGTAGCAATTGTTGAAGTTAGAGTGGTAGTTACTGTAGTAGTAGTAGTAGTCATAATTGTAGTAGTAGCCATTGTTTTCTTTGAAGTAAAGGTGTTATTTACCTTGGTAGTAGTGGTAGTAGTAGTAGTAGTAGTAGTAGTAGTAGTAGTAGTAGTAGTCATAGTCGTAATAGTAGTAGCAATTGTCTTTGAAGTAAGAGTGGTAGTTACTGTAGCAGTTGTAGTAGTAGTAGTAGTAGTAGTAATCGTAGTAGTAGAAGTAGTAGCAATTGTTGTCTTTGAAGCGTGGTAGTTACTGTAGCAGTTGTAGTAGTAGTCGTAATCGTAGTAGTAGTAGTAGTAGCAATTGTTGTCTTTGAAGCGTGGTAGTTACTGTAGCAGTTGTAGTAGTAGTAGTAGTAGTAGTAGTCGTAATAGTAGTAGCAATTGTTGTCTTTGAAGTAAGAGTTGTAGTTACTGTAGCAGTTGTAGTAGTAGTCGTAATCGTAGTAGTAGTAGTAGTAGCAATTGTTGTCTTTGAAGCGTGGTAGTTACTGTAGCAGTTGTAGTAGTAGTAGTAGTAGTAGTAGTCGTAATAGTAGTAGCAATTGTTGTCTTTGAAGTAAGAGTTGTAGTTACTGTAGCAGTTGTAGTAGTAGTAGTTGTAGTAGTAGTAGTAGTAGTAGTAGTAGTAGTAGCAATTGTTGTTGAAGAAAGAGTGTTAGTTTCTGTAGTAGTAGTAGTAGTAGTAGTAGTAGTAGTAGTAGTAGTAGTAGTAGTAGTCCTCATGTAACAAGCGTGCGTATACTTCCAGGTTCTGACTGCTGTGCGGACATGGATGGGGACGGACTACACCCGGACTACGAGACGAAGTAAGTGAGGTGTTACCACCAGTAGTGAGTGAGTAAGTGGTTGGGGTTAACGCCGCTTTGAACAACATTCCAGTTGTATCACGGCGTGTCAGTGTAATGAGGGGGGAAAGTCCGAAGCGATGGAGGTCTCAGACGTTTACGACTTCGGTGAAACCTACGAGTACGAGTATGGTGTTGACAAACCTAGACACATAATCGGGGCGAACCGGGATTCCACCCAACGATCAAAGGTTTCTGGCGTGCACAAGGGACGCAACTCTGCACAGCGAATTCGCTTCGCCTTAGACGACTGGGCCACACGTTACCACAAGTTGTGCGGTGAACTGGGTGTGAGATAGCCTTGTTTACTAGTATCAATATGGAAGAACAACCCGAAGAGACGTGCTTCTTATGCATTTGCAGAATCAGAGACCATACACATCATCTGTATTTAAACAGTCCTCGCCACGATTATGTTTTAACGAAGATATCTACATGTGTGCCAATACTTATACGTGAAAACAAGCCATTCAGCCGTTTAGGAATATTACTTACACTAATGACAAAATATGCAAAGTGCGCTTTTCAAGAAATATCCATTTTGCTAGCGATAATTATCAGCGCCGAGTTTTGATCTCGTGATTACTATCCGGGTAATTTCCGGGAGTCAGGTGACTATATTGAGGTTATATTTAGCAGCGTATGTACATTCCCAGCACGCACTGATGTAGGGTTACTTACCAAGGTCACTGCTAAATATACCCGCTCGCAGTCACCTGACTGTTGATTCCTACCCGGATTGCAACCACGTGATCAAAACTAAATAATGATGGGTTTATTATCGCGAGTAAACTGGATATTTCTTGAAAAGCGCACTTTGCACCTTTTGATATTACTGTAAATAATATTCTTCAACGGCGGAATGCCTTGTTTGCACTTGTAAGTATTAGCACTTGTTCATTAATCATCGCGATATTTAGTGATTCTATTTAAGTTATTTTAATGGTTATATGACAATGTTATTACACAGTGCCAGATGTCACTGTTTTGAATTTTATTTACATTTTCAAACACATGTGTGTTATTTATCGAGAGTCGCGTGTTTTCCATAGGAAATTAAGTAGATGTCAGTTTTCCAGGGAGTAAATTATTGGGTGTGAGTTTCAAGGGGTAATTAAGTAGTTGGTAATTAAGTAGATGGCGGATTTTAGGGGTAATTAAGTATTAAGTATTAATTAAGAAGTTTCAAGGGGTAAGTGAGTGAGTATGGTTTTACGCCGCGTTTAGCAATATTCCGGCAATATCACGGCAGGGGACACCAGAGAGCTTAACACATTGTACCCATGTGGTGAATTGAACTCAGGTCTTCGGCGTGACGAGTGAACGCTTTAACCACTAGGCTACCCTACCGCCCCAAGTTTCGAGTAGGTGGCAGTTTCAAGGGATATTTCAGCTGGTGGCAGTTTCAAGGTGTCATTATGTAGGTGGATGTTTCAAGGGGTAAATAAGTTGGTGGCAGTTTTCCAAGGGGTAATAAAGTTAGTGTCAGTTTCAAGGGGTCAGTTGTCCGGGGTAGTTTTCCTTTGGCCGTTGACGTAGCCTATTCGCGTCGGTGTGAAACTCAGACAGCCTTGTCACAGCTTTATGTCCAGGTTGTATTGATTGCTCTTCTGAATATAATATACATTCAGGAGCCAGTGTATAAATATTTTTGTTATCCCCTCGTCTTTCCTCTACACGGGTTCTTTGCGCCACGGAAGCACGGAAAGAGTGTAATTTGATTTCGTTTTAAATACTTCACTCTTGTTTTCAGCGGTCCCTGTTTCCCAATTCAAATACCAGCAGGTGATCGCAAGTTTGTAAACTGCATGGGTTTCAGTCGCTCCCTGCCGGCTCGTCCTACTGCAGGTAAGAACATTTCTTAATTAGATATAAACATCAACGACAGAGAATAGCCAGTCTCTATTATCGGATGAAACAGATTCCATTGGGCGTTAGAGGTGAAGTGAGGTGAGGTGAGGTGAGGTGAGGTGAGGTGGAATTGGGTTTAACGTCGCGTCCAAGATTATTGCACTTATATAGCGACGTGCATGTACGTGTGTGTGTGTTTGTGTGGCTGCTTGTACTAGTCCGGACTGATGCCGATTTATAGTGCTAGCTCACTGAGATACCATGCCGCAGTTTAACATGAATACCCCACTCAGACACAGTATACTGACTCCGAGCCGACCAGTCCTTGTTTTAGCCCCTTAATGCCAAGCACAAGAATGAGTAACAACAAGTACCATCTTTTAACGTCTTTTGGTATGACGCGGTCGGGGATCGAACCCCGGACCTTCCGCTCTCCGGGCGGACGCTCTACCACTAGACCACGGAGGCGGTCGGGCGTTAAAGGCAAAATAACGGTAAATAGTATAAAAATGGATCACTGAAAATCCGGAATGACACCAGGTGTTCGCGAAAAGGGTAAGCATGTCCTGGCCTGTCGGTCGCACCCGCCATTCATACAATGTGTATAAAAAGTATGTGCTTGTCCCCTGACGCCGCACAGTCGTACTCCTGCCACGTGACAGCGACAGTTACAGAAACCAGACAATCCAGTGACACGATATGGTATTGACTGATTTTTTTTAAAACTAAAAGCGATATGTAAATTTTGAATTAACCTGTGTACAAGTGTGGATATTTATCTGCTTATAAGTAAGATAAAACGTTGAGAAATATGTACCTTGCGTAACACATCTTCAGATAAAACTCAAATAAAATACAATGTACTAAAGACACGATTGGGTCTATTTGAGAACTGATTCGTTCATTCAGCTCTCGGTATAGAACGCTATATCGTTGTATGAGACGTAGGGAATTCAGTATGTGCGCATTTTTGAAGCACAGATTAGTAGCGCGTGGCACTGAATGAAGATGGGTGTGTCTCACGTTAAACTATACTTTTCAGTCGTAAAACATCGCGAGTGTGTAGATGATTTTTTTCTAATAAAAATATGCAAAACCAGTGAGGATAGTTTTTGTCGCTTATACATTCGCTATCGCATGGCGAGAGAAACCAAAAATTAGCTTGACACAATGCGCATCATGTTCTTCATTTAGACGAGCAAATATCCCCACCCACCCACCTCTCACGTGAATAAGCACATTCTTAGTTCAAATATTTCGTTACATTATACATAATTACTTTCATAAAAAAATGTATTCAGTTTTCAGAGAGGTCGTAGTGGTTTTGATTGACAAGGTTTTTCTGTTTTGAATATTCAATATTGCTGTGCAATAGTATTTAGGTCAGTGGAGCAGGCTACAATTTGTTTACCGCTATTTGAATCAATCATGTCAAATGTCATTCACAACATGCCACGTGTGACGTGAAATCGATAATATATGTAGTCATTCGTCCGACGCTTGTAATGAAACACGGATAAACCATTAAACATGATGGCCCCTTGGTTAGAATAGGTCGGCAATTCATGCTTGCGGTAAGAGGCGACTAACGGGATAGGGTGGTTAGACTCGCTGACTTGGTTGATGCATGTAATTCTATCCTAATTGCGTAGATCGATGCTCATGATGTCAATCACTGGATTGTCTGGTCCAGACTCGATTATTTACAGTCCGCCGTCATATAGCTGGAATATTGCTGAGTGCGGCGTTAAACAACATGCTGAACATAAAGCTTAACGAGTGGGGGAATGGGGGAGATCGGTTTAACACCGCTTTGAACAATATTTCAGTTACGTGAGAGCTTTGGTGAAACCCGCGAGCAAGGGGATGGTTTTGAACCCCCGATATGCTTCTTCCACAGCGAAGTGCGGCGCATTGCAAGACTGGGCCACCCGTTCCCTCTAAACATAATGAAGGTTTATGGCCAAAATGCATTGCTTTAAAATAGGTCGGCTCTGATACGTTTCTGTATGGTCCAAGACGAGATAAAATATCAATAGTTGGCATCTATACAAAAATAGTTTTTCGATTATTTCTACAGATGTCAAAATTCACCTGTTTAAACTTTGAATTCCTTCTTTGTTTGTTGTCCTGTATGTATTGATAACAACAATAGGCATATTTATAATGCGCCAAATCCATGCCCTAAAGCGTGCTCAAAGCGCTACATAATTACATTGAACGAAGATACCAAACAAGCAGAAATAGCCGCTTTTACGGGTCTTTAGGCAGACTGACAGTGCCGTGGCAAATGGGGAATGTTACACCTTTACGCTGTTTTTCCAGAGGACTGCCGACGTGAACAACTGAACGTTCTCACCTCCTACATCGACGCCAGCAACGTCTACGGTAGCTCCATAGAAGAAAGTTCCAATCTGCGGACCGGTGCCGGAGGCACGTAACGACGTTAATTTAGAAACAATTATGCCTCGTTATAACGTTGAATTTCTATTTAACACAAAATGCTGTTCCCTTCTCCTGTTCCATTTGGCCTTCTGACGAATTGAAGCGAAGCGAATTATTAATGGTGTGCATATCTGTTTCAATAAATAGTCAATTCCGACTATATCATAAGCATGTGTTAATGAATCATTGTCAAATAGTAATGATACCAGGCGAAAAGTAGAGCGTATCCTGCCCCACCGGTGGCACCCGTCACAAACACATGCAAAGGCAAGTCAATTGTTAACCTGAAAAAGAACATGGGAATATATGGGACATGTCAACATAGGGAATTGCATCGGATATCACTAATGAGTCAAATGTTGAAATGTTCTCCACATGTCTACCTAACCTTGATTATTATTATTATTATTATTATTATTATTATTATTATCAATGCATATCTCTGTATCAGGTTTACTGGTTACCTCTGAAGGCAATATGCTACCTATATCCGACAAAACCTTTTGCGTCAAGAGGGGCGGCCATTCTTGCTACAATGCAGGTAAGGGGGGGTTACCGTTCATTGCAGGGGGGTATTACAATTTGTCAAAGACTGAAATTGATTTAATCTTATTGGAAAAATCCGAAAAGCATTCCTATAATAATAATGATCGTAGTGGAACCGATTGTCTGTTCCATTCAACAATTAGTATATCTCACACAAGGCCTGAAAAAGAAATATACAACGGTAACCCAGTGCACGTGGTGGAAGACACAATCACCCTCAATGCAGAGTTGCGTCCCTTTGGTGATCGGGTGCAGGTTCGAATTCCAGAATCTCCGCGAGCCTCGATTTCTCGCCATACGTGTGCTCGAAGTCAAAGGAACTCGATGATAGCGTGTATAACACAATACATTCATATAGAAAAAAATCACATTTGTGATATAAATCACAGTCGTCATTTTTTATCTATACGAATATATTGTACTATACACTCTAGCACCGCGTTCATGTGCTCGAAGTATACTAACCTGGGGATAACCCTGTAATAACTATATTTATAATCATTATGAGTGAGCGAGTCTGTGAGTATGGTTTTACGCCGCTTTTCGCAATATTGCAGCAATATCACGTCGGGGAACCCCAGAAATGGGCTTCACACATTGTACTCATGTCGGGAATCGAACCCGGGTCTTCGGCGCGATGAGCTAACGCTTTAACCACTAAGCTACCCACCGCCCCCTAATCATTATAAATATGCATTGGGTGGAATTAGTGCTATTACAGAATTACATTATTTGCGTGAATCAAGTTGGTAATTCAGATGTGTAATGTAGTCCTTTTCTGTTAAGGACGAAGCATTAAAACCATGTTCCTTGCACATTTCAGGTGATTTCCGGGTGAATGTGTTCCCAGGCCTAACAGCCATGCACACCCTGTGGGTGCGCGAACACAACCGTCTGGCCGCCGGCCTGGCCCGCGTCAACCGTCGCTGGTCGGATGACAAATTGTTCCAGGAAGCCAGGAAGATCGTCATAGCCTCCATGCAGCACATTACATACGATAACTGGCTGCGGAAAGTCCTCGGGCCATTGATATACGAATACTTTGACGTCTTTGGTAACTACAAGTACAACGCAAGCGTCAACCCCGGGATATTCAACAGCTTCGCAACAGCAGCCTTTAGATTTGGTCACTCCCAGATAGCTGGACACTACGGCGTGAAGCACAATAAGCATATAGACATACGCCACTTGTTCATGGACACCTCGTACGTTGCCGACGGACTCGATGACGTCATTCTTGGTCTGCTCCGAGGTCGGAGCCAAAAGGCCGACACACACATCTCTGAAGGTAAAGTGGGAGATATTGTCACTATGCTCTATCTGAACGACCGTGACAAAAGTCATATACTGTTTAAAGCGGCGTTGAATTTCAGTCACTATTAGCATGAGCATTACATGTGCGAATATAAACATACTTCGCTCCCTTATTCAAGTTTGTATTGTCTAATGCTGACCACAGGCGTAAATCAACCTAGTATTGTCTATTACTTACCGCAGGTGTAACTCAACCTAGTATTGTCTAATACTTACCGCAGGTTTAACTCAACCTTGTATTGTCTAATACTTACCGCAGGTTTAACTGATCACCTGTTTGAAAACACTGCCACTCCGGGGAAGAGCCTTGACCTTGTAGCGCTGAACATCCAGAGAGGGCGAGACCACGGTCTTCCGCCGTACATTGACTTTCTCGTGAAGTGGACAGAGGACATTAACAATCACGACTCCATCATCGAGAGGCCTGGGGCCCCTCTCTGTTCTCTTGGCCTCTACGAGTAAGTCTCTCTCTCTCTCTCTCTCTCTCTCTCTCTCTCTCTCTCTAAGATTTATGATTCGGTGGTGAAAACCGTCTGGTTTAGATATACTATCGACGTGGGTGGAACGGTGGAAACAGCTCTCAAAGTACTAGTATTTATCCGTGACTATACTGGCCATATATTTTTGATTGCAGTAGCTTCAACGACGTAGACTTATTTCTGGGCGGTATGGATGAGCCCCATCTGAAAGACGCTATGGTTGGACCAACATTTGGTTACATATTAGCTAAACAGTTCTACAACTTGCGGGTCGGAGATCGATTCTGGTACGAGACAAAAAACAGAACCCTTGGATTTAGTGATGGTAAGAAGCCGAGAGTTTCTAAACATCCGACCTATACAATGTGTTTCCACAAAAACCTTTCCATAATGATGCGAAATCTCTCCTAAAATCACAGTCCATTGTACCATTCCACCATTCCGAGTATATCATGAGTATGCGTTTATGATCACTATCAAATACAGACACCAGGTGTTCACAGCGGATGTTGACAAGGGTCAGGTCAGGGTCAGGGTCTCCTGTACAAAGCGCCTTGTCGTAAATAGAAAGTAATCACAAGCAACACATTAGAACATTTTGAAAATGATTTTCGTGACTATTCTACGGAGAGGAAGGGTAGGTGAGTAGTTGAAGCTTTTGTTATGTTAAATGATAACGGACGGACAAGAAGGATCAGTCAAGAGCATCTTCATGTATATATATGATCCCTAATGCATCGTGACTATTATATAACGTGTTTGAACAGCGTTGATTTGTCTTTTCTGCTACCAACTATGACCCGTGAAGATCCGGGGTAGAATAGGTCTTCAGGAACCCATGATTGCCGTAAAAATCCACCATGATTGTCGTAAGAGGCGACTAACGGGATCGGGTGGTCAGGCTCGCTGACTTGGTTGATGCATATCATCGTATCCCAATTGCATGGATCGATATTCATGATGTCAATCACTGGATTCTCTGGTCCAGACTCGATTATTTACAGAGTAAGTATTATTTTACACCGTAAAATCATACTTACTCACTCCCTCACTCTTCACTCTCCATTTTAGATCAGTTAGCTGAGATTCGTAAAGTGAGCTTAGCCCGAGTGATGTGTGAAAACAGTGGACTCAGAAGAATTCAAGTAGACGTCTTTAAACTTCCAAGGAGAAAGTAAGTAATGCATGTTCGTACTACCACCGACCGCCTCCGTGGTATAGTGGTAGAGCGTCCGCCCGGAGACCGCAAGGTCCGGGGTTCGATCCCCGGCCGCGTCATACAAAAGGCGTTAAAGGATGGTACTTGTTGTTACCCTGTCTGGCGCTCGGCATTAAGGGGTTTAAACAAGGACTGGTCGGCTCGGAGTCGGTATAGTCATGTTAAACTGCGGCATGGTATCTCAGTGTGCTAGCACTATAAATCGGCACCAGTCCGGACTAGTACAATCAGTCTCACAAACACACACACATACATGCACGTCGCTATATAAGTGCAATAATCTTGGACGCGACGTTACCACCAGCTTTCTGTCCTCTGTGGCTTCCTAGAATATTATGCTTGCCGTACGAGAGGACTGAAATGGGACTAACTCTTTGACTTTGCCGGCGATGTGATATCGTGGAATGATGACGTGGGGCGGTGCTCATGCTGTCAACCACTAGTGTGCCTGATCCAGACTTGATTATTTTCAGGCCGCCGTGATATAGCTGAATATTGCTGAAAGCGGCATAAAACAACATCCAAACCGTCTGTAACAGCTTGAATATTTATATGTGGCTGATGACCTATATGCTGGCAGGGTGCGCTGGTGGCCCAGTCGTCTAAGGCGTCGTAATTGGCTGAGCAGAGTTACGTCCCTTGGCCACGCCAGAAACCCATGCGTGAGGGTTCGAATCTCGGTTCGCCCCGATTATGTTTCTAGGTTTGTCAGCACCATACCCGTGATCGTGGGTTTCAACAAAAGTGGTTAACGTCTGAGACCTGCTTCTTCACTTCGGGCTTTCCTCCCACATTAAGCTGACACGCCGTGATACAATACTATTCAAAGCGGCGTTTAACACTGACTCACACGCTCACTATATGATGAGACATCAAAGTATGGAGAAGGATGGGTTGTTCTGGGAGCAATAAACACGTGGAACACAATAACAACGATAACGTCTTCTACTTCCAGGGGTAACCGCATGACGGCATGCCGGAGACTGCCTCAAATCAATCTCTCGAAATGGAAGGAGTGACCTCCACATATATCAAATACTACTTGTGTTCGTCAAATACTTATTAAAATGTGCGAAGCAATATTGTTTGTGTTTATTTTAACCTTGTGTAGGCTTCGACATCGGTACCGGCATTGTTAAAGCCGTACCTTACCTTTCACCAACTGCAATGTATATACACATGCAGCTTCCGACCCGTGAAGATCCGGGGTAGAATGGGTCTTCAACAACCCATGCTTGGCGTGAACCTCAACTATGCTTGTCGTAAGAGGCGACTAACGGGATCGGGTGGTCAGACTCGCTGACTTGGCTGATATATGTCATCGTATCCCAATTGCGTGGATCGATGCTCATGATATCAATCACTGGATTGTCTGGTCCAGAATCGATTATTTACAAACCGCCGTCATATAACTGGAATATTGCTGATAGCGGCGTTCAACAATGAAACAAACATGCAGCGTCCATTACTTGAATGTTCTGTCTGAAATATACCACTCAAAACAAGTTAAAGAAACCCTATTCATGCCATGACATATTAACTTTAGTAAGATGTAAGACTTTTAGTAGAATATATTTATCCTATACATTCTCCCAGTGATCAAATGACGTCAGACAAGAGTTTGTGTCCGCGCTTTTAATGGCGGCCCCGCTTTAATGACGGTCACATCGTTACTGCCAGAAAAAAGAATCGCTGGTTCGCAATGAAGTGGTTGAGTGAATGTTACATAATGGCGCACATCATTTCAGCTTCATCACGTCGGTTCACCATTGTGATAAAAAAGCCGATGTCGCTTTCGACGTGCCTCCGACATTTCTGTAACATTTTGTGAAATAATTAAAAAAAATTACGAAGAAGCGTTAAACTCTGGACGTCAACGTGGTTTTTTTGCGTTTATGGAGTTATAAACGTAACAAACTGGCGTGTATTTTATGTAAATCCGCGTAGCACATCGGTTTTACGTTTCTACCTCCAAACACGCAGAAACCATTGACGTCAATTCTTTAAGAATATCATCCGGTAGGATAGCCTATAGCTAGTGATTAAAGCTTCGCTCGTCAAGTCCAAGACCCAGGTTTGATTCCCGACATGGGTACATTGTGTGAAGCCCATTTATGGTGTCCTCCTCCGTGATATGGCTGGAATATTGCCAAAAGCGGCGTAAAATCATAGCCACTCTCTTAAATATAATTATCGTGAGAAACGTTGCGCTGCTAATAAAATAAGTGAATGATGTTTAACATCGGAGTCCAATACCCCAGCTATATCATGGCTGCAGCACAAATAAGGGTTCTTGACAGACCATTAACTGACTGCTTCTTCCAAAAAGGTGTATCGACGTTCAAGTAATCGTGGTTTCAATGTAGCAACATTTTATAAATCCATCTTTAGAATTATAAAATATAACTTTCAACCACTGTTGTTGACGCACAAAACCGGTCGAATTTTTAATTTCGTATATTCAGTCGATAACATGTATGCGGCTGAAATTCTGCAAGTCAAAATGCAATGAATTGTTTTAATCAGCAAGTGTAATGTATACAGGAAATGCAACTACTGCACATTTAATAGCGTTGCAGCAAAGAGAAGGCGGAAGGTTTTACAAAGAACATGTGATGTAAGGACAGTTTGGCGAACAGGTTCAATTGTCACAAAATGAAAATATTCATTTTCGCAATACTAGGCTTTCCATTTGCCAAGGTGAAGACTTGGCAGATGACGACAGCGTATCTCCCGATTGCTGAAATAAATTTAAAAAACACATTATACTGTTCATCCTCATCTATACATCTGACAGAAGCGTCACGGAAACAATCACATGTCTTAAATATGATTGTTATTACTAAAGAAAGGATTGACGTTGTCGCTATAGTAACATAATTATGCATTTTTCACTGTTATAAAAAAACACCATGGTATTTGAATCCCGTAATTGTTACGCTCTACCTCTACCTGTGGCTATCCTTCTCTTACCTGCGGGTAATCAGTCTGAATGCATCTCTTTGGATTCTACCGATCTTGCTGTTGTCACAGATGACGCGAGACAACGTCACCTTTCGTATCTCAGCTAACTGTGCTGAAACACAAGAGTGAGTGAGTTAGTTGGGTTTAACACCACTTAACATTTTCATTTGTGAAAACTCAAGACCTCGGACTGACCTTCCAAGGTAAAATTGCAACAGACTGAACAAGAACAAATCCACGCAAATTTCAAAACAGTCCGCGTTTTTTTAAGACAGGCCACTATCGCTCTTAGGTAACGACTAACAAATGAGTTGTCATTCCTATTGTTATAAGGTTAAAAATGCATCTCAGAAACGAATGATAATAAATAGAACCCATTAGATATAGTTCGTGACAGAACTTGTAATTGGAAAGGAATCAATAGAGAAAGACATTTCACATTTATCACAAGTGTATTCTGGACATTTCACATTTATCATTGGATTGGTCTCTGGCTATTATCCATGAGTTAATGAAACAAATGGGGAATTACAAGGTATAAGCCATTTGGAGCTTCGGAGAGAGTCACGAAATCAATAGAGAGATGAGCAGTCTGGCACGTAGGTTTTTGGTATTTTTCCGATTGCGACACACATGAGTTCATGGTCAGATATAAACTTGTAACGAATCAAATGGAGATATTGAGACATGTGACAAGGACAGGTCAGGCTCGAACACTATAAAATGATACCCTCAACATTAGGAGAGTGGTGCGCGGTTTACAGTCGATCGAGTCGAATCCCGATCGTTCTAAGTTTCCACCAGCTAGTACCGAGCCTGGCCAGTCTGATCCTGTTCTGTATTGATAGATGGGCTGAGAGTAAGTAAAACTATGTGAGTATAAACTGGTGTTGCGTTTCTTTATTATGCGGGTGTGAATGCTGATAGAGACAACTTGGAGTAAGGGTCATTAGGCCAATCACTCCTTGACGGAGCCGAGCCGCGGCGGACAAGGCGAGTGACAATGTCAGGGCGTAATTGACCACAAGGACCAGGAACGGCAATACATTTAGTAACTGTATTAGGGTCGCACTGGACGCCCGAAACCAGTTACGACACTATAAACTGTTTATACTGTTATGAGAAGAATCCGGGTTAGCACTTGACTGTCGGGTTGAACACCAATAACATTTAGGCTTTTGAACAGTATTCCAGACTGAGTTTTATAATTCTTATCAGCTTCAGTGGGATTCGCTACCATGTTCATATATTTCTGGAGTGCCCATGGGACGCATTCAGCGAATTGCGGCGCCTTAGACGACGCGGTCATCCGTGCCAGTTAAAAACAGAGGTAAAACTAGGTTGATCAGTATTATACATTTAAAAGAGCCTGGCTTTACGCCGCTTTAACACTATTTCAGCAACGTCACGGCAGGGGACACGGAGGGTGGGCGTCACACATTGTCATCGTGTGGGGACTCGAACGCGAATCTTAGGAGTGACGACAGGAACCATTATACACATCTAGAGTACAAGGAATCTTTACTTTCAAAATTCCAAAACTCCTGTTTGAGGACAGATTACCTTAGGAATAAAACCAGAACTTCAGATTTCTATTTATCCACATTAAACGCTAAAAGCTTATAGAAAGCGCCCCTTTTTTAAATGACCTACAATGAATTTCAAGGGGGAAACGGGTCTTTCCCAAACACGTCTAGCGCCTAGACATGTTTAGACCTAAACGCGTCAAACTTATTCGCCAAGGAACATGTTTACGTTTGTGTAACACATTTTTTAGTGTAGTTGGTAATGGGTACACTGAAACTGTTTGTGTTCGTGAAGTGAGGTGAATTGGGTTTAACGTCGCGTCCAAGATTATTGCACTTATATAGCGACGTGCATGTACGTGTGTGTGTTTGTGTGGCTGCTTGTACTAGTCCAGACTGATGCCGGATTATAGTGCTAGCTCACTGAGATACCATGCCGCAGTTTAACATGCATATGACTACCCCACTCAGACACAGAATACTGACTCCGAGCCGACCAGTTTTAGCCCCTTAATGCCGAGTGCCAGGCAGGGTAACAACAAGTAACATCTTTTAACGTCTTTTGGTATGGCGCGGCCGGGGATCGAACCCCGGACATTCCGCTCTCCGGGCGGACGCTCTACCTCTAGAGACCACGGAGGCGGTGGGTGTTCGTAAATAGCAAAGAATGAAATAGATATCTAAATAAATAGATCAATACATATTTAAATCCCACAACACTGATGTTTTACGTTCACTAGTCATATTGTTGAAACATATATTCTCTGTCAGATTTTGTACATCATGTATATCAGGTGACTAAACAAATGAAACTGAAATGTCAACTGTACAACTGGCCATGCTGCCTTAACTACAAACATATGTATGTCTCTCTGTAAATGAGTAAATAAATAAGTTAATGTACAAAAGATATAGAAATAGAAAAATAAATTGACAAATAGATAGACAAAATAAATAACTAAAATGATAATTGGATGAATGAATGAATGAATGAATGAATGAATGAATGAATGAATGAATAAATAAATTAATTGTACATTGTATTTATCGACACAATTGAAATCATGTATATGGCTTTCAAAGCAAAACTCACGCCGTGATATAACTGGAATACCGTTAAAAACGGCGTTGAACCCAATTCACTCACTCACTCACTCAAAGCAAAACTCCTACCTGCAGTGAAGGTTTCGGCTCTCTCATACCAGAATCGATCTCCCAAGCGTAGGTTTTGAAACTGTGTTGCCAGTATATAGGCAAATGTTGGTCCCAACAGAGCATCTCCAAGGGGTTGCTCCCTCATACCGCCCACGAACAGGTCCACATCGTTCACACATCTACAATTTGAACGTAAAATGGATACTTGATATTGCGTGACAGCTCAACGCGGGTGGGTAGCCTAAAGTGATGAAATTCTTATAGGTAAAACAGGTAGGATCACAACTAAACAGTTACTTAAGGATGCCGTTTGAATAAGAAGCGACTTTTCCTTACAAGCGAAACGGGAAGCAGTCTACCACTGTCTTCTCCTGAATGCCTTAAAACCAGTACCATACGGCAATGCTCCAACCGAATTAAACCAGTTAATCTTATTTCCGCGTTTTTTGGTCATTTTCTGTTATTTTCAGAAAGCCGAAACTGTCCCATGTCTCTCACTAATTTAAAAAAATCTATTCTCGTCTATTAGGTCTTTAAAGAAGAAAGTAAGATGGCCTCCAGTTTGCTTATCATAAATATGATTTGCACTTCCGGTCTGGTAGTATGTCACATCCGGTTTTGTGTTCCCTATGCAATACTCATGAGTAATACATACAACGTTCAAATACTGTAGCACAGGTTGCCGAAACAGTTGTTATTCACATTTTAATGACTCTAGCCATTATGTGACCATACTCAGGAGAGTTTTTTAAGGTGCAGGGGCACGGACGGCCCAGTCGTCTAAGGCGCTGTAATTCGCTGTGCAGAGTTGCGTCCCTTGGGTTCGAATCCCGGTTGCCCGATTATGTTTCTAGGTTTGTCACATACCCGTGACCGAGGATGTCACCAAAGTGGTAAACGTCTGAAACCTGCATAACTTCGAGCTTTCCTCCCACACTGATGTTACGGAAATTCTTTTTAAAGCGGCTTTAAACCCAACTCACTCACTTCTTAAGGAGCAACAAAGGTAACTGAGAATTAAAGACCATGAACTACGACCTACTGTAGACTGTCAATCCACTGTACGAAACCCAGGTATAACCTAAAATAAGCAATATCTGTGTTTGTGAATACCTACGACCCGCATAGCTCCCTTTTAAGCAAACTCGTCGTGGAATAACAAATTTACTGATCAAAACAGCGATTAACCCAACTTACTCACTCACTCTATCAGAACATGGAAGCAAATACATAGTTGGATAGGCATTACTTAGAAATTGACGAATGACAAGGTAGACACAATTTATGGATAACAACTTCTTTAATTAAAGGTGACGTTTCGCCATAAATCCTTATACCGTTCTCAAGCAGGACTCAGTAATTAAAGAAGTTGTTATCCATAAATTGTGTCTCCTTTTTTGGAAGCAAATAGATTAAAATCATCATACAGTATACACGTTTTAGCAACGTTTTTACTTTATTTATGAAACTACAGTAAACTACGGTTATAACGAACACGCTTATAACGAACTGACGGATATAACGAACTTACTTTTTGGTCCCGACTACTTGCTGTAGTCATGCTGTATATGTACATATAACGAACTACGGTTATAACGAACTAAAATTAGTAGTCCCTTTGAGTTCGTTATAACCGTAGTTTACTGTATGTATCTTATAAACATTGTGGTATAATCGACATACTACAGGTCAACGTGACCTTGCGCTCAACTCGCTCACTAACAAAGTACATGTACTTACTTGTACAGTCCGACGGCGCACTTTGGTACCGTAAGGTCATCCCTAAGAAGGCTCCTCACTCCCGGGATCTTTGACATGTGGTTGATGAAGTCCATATAAGGAGGAAGTCCGTGATCCCGCCCTCTTTGAATGTTGAGCGCAACCAGGTCCAAACTTGCACCGGCGCCAAATGTGTTTTCAAACAGGTGATCAATGATGCCTGTGAATAGAAGTCTACAACTTACTAATCCATTCGGGGGGCACGGGGGGCCCAGTCGTCTAAGGCGACGCGTTTCGCTGTGCAGAATTGCGCCCCTTGGGCACGCCAGAAACCTATGATTGTGGGTTCGAATCCCGGTTCGCCCCGATTATGTTTCTAGGTTTGTCAGCACCATACCCGTGCTCGTTGGTTTCACCGAAGTGGTAAACGTCTGAGATCTGCATCACTTCGGGTTTTCCTCCCACATGAAGCTGACACGCCGTGATATAACTGGAATACTGTTAAAAGCGGCGTTAAACCCAACTCACTCACTCACTATATGATGAGACATGAAAGTATGGGAAAAGTATGGGTTGTTCTGGTCGCAATAAACACGTGGAACACAATAAAAATGATCGAGTCTTCTCCTTTCAGTGGTAACTACATGACGGCATGCCGGAGACTGCTTCAAATCTCAAACCTGCATCACTTCGGGCTTTTCTCCCACATTAAGCTGACACGCCGCGATATAACTGGAATACTGTTAAAAGCGGCGTTAAACCCAACTCACTCACTCACTACTAATCCATTCCCCAGGTAGACAGTTTAACACCGGAAACAGGTACAGTTCATTCAAGACAACAACTTTAAGATCTCTTAGAGTAGCTCTAACAGTGCGCCCATATATGGGAGGCTATATATCAATACCCATTACGATACTATGCAGTTGGTGGTTACATGAGCTTCATTCTATTCTTGGTCCGGTCGTCCAAGGCGCCGCAATCGGCTGTGCAGGGTTGTGTCCCTTTGGCACACGAGAAACCTTTGAATGTGGGTTCGAATCCAGGCTCGCCCCTGTTATGTTAGGATTGTGTGCTCCATATCTGTGCTCATGGGTTTCACCTAAGTGGTAAAAATCCGCATCACTTCCGGCTTTCCTCCCATTAACCAAACCTACTCACTCATTCCACTCTCTGCTGATGGTTGGAATCTAAGATTTACCCGTGTCAAAATCACACCGCGACAATGTCCCTTCTAGGATTCCATAGGAAACATCTGCGACCTGCACCGTTGCGTGTTGTCCACCCACATGAACCTAACCTACATTGATCGATATAATGGGACCCCTGAACTTCCGGGTTAGAATAGGTCATCAGTAACCCATGCTTGTGGTAAAAGGCGACTATGCTTGTCGTAAGAGGCGACTAACGGGATCGGATGGTCAGATTCGCTGACTTGGTTGATGCATGTCATCGTATTCCAATTGCGTGGATCGATGCTCGTGATGTCAATCACTGGATTATCTGGCCAAGACTCCATTATTTACAGACCGCCGTCATGTAGCTGTACTATTGCTGATTGCGGCGTTAAACAACAAACGACCAACAACAACCAACTATAACTGAAATATAACTGTTACAAGCTGCACTACACCCAAGTCACCACTCACCGTTTGTAAACGCTTTGTCGGTACCCTGGGCCTTGTCAACTGTCAGTCCACTTAGAATTTCATCGTAACCATTGGTGACGAACGAGGTGTCAAAGAACATCTCTGATATCGCCAAGTTTGCGTTGCCCTTGACTTTGTAGGTTCCAGCGATCTGAGAGTGACCAAACCTGAACGCTGCCGCCGCAAAGCTGTTGAAGATGCCGGGGTTTACAGAAGCATTGTATCGATAGGTCCCGGACAGGTCAAACAGTCGGTACACCTTGTCACCGAGGACATTGCGGAGCCAGGTACGGTACGTGATGTGCTGCATACTTGCAATGACAATCTTACGGGCTTCCTGAAACAATGTCTCGTCGTTCCATTTACGGTTTATTCTGGCTAGCGCGTCCGCCAGTCTGTTGTGCTCCCGCATCCATAGGGTGTGCATGGAAGTCAGGCCTGGGAACTCGTTCACGCGGACATCACCTGAATAGTGGAATTCAAGAATGATAGGTTTCGCTTCTTTCGCAGAAATATGCACATGTACATGGTCGCATTGCTCCCCCGAATCCCTTTGAGAATATAGGTCAGAATAGGCATCCAAGTCCATATGCTTTTGTCGTAAGAACGGACTGAAATCCGGATCTAGTGGTTACTGAAAATGTGTCTGGATTATCTGACCCAGACTCGGTCATATACACACCGTGATATAAACTGCCGGCAAAAGAAATATACACCAATGTTTGACGGTGGCTACAAATGAAACAAAGATAAACTAGTCATTCAATGGTGATGTATTTGGCCTTAGGTTTGCAATATTTTGACGACTATTTTTAGCCTAGTACATTTAAATAACGTTTGTAAATGTTTTGTCAAACATGTTTTGGCCGCCAGTTTAGGTGCACAATTACTAACTGCAGCTAAAAACAACATCTTTAAATGTTTCCTCATTAAGCAGGATGTGATGTTTGTTTGTTTGTTTGTGGTTTAACGCCGCACTCAGTAATATTCCAGCTATATGACGGCAGTCTGTAAATAATCGAGTCTGGACCCGACAATACAGTGATTGACATCATGAGCATCGATCCACGCAATTTGGATACGATGACATGCATCAACCAATTGCAAGTCAGCGAGCCTGACCGCCCGATCCCGTTAGTCGCCTCTTACGACAAGCATGGGTTGCTGATGACCTACACTACCCCGGATCTTCACGGGTCTGTATCAAGGTGAATAACTAAAGAAAATTCACATCTCCTAAAACGGTCTCGCTAGTCCGGACACATGTTAACCTTGACGACTCCCCTGGGTTAACATGATGTACATTCCTATCTTGATCCTGGCGGGGAAAAGTACACATTGGAATGGAATACAAACTTTAATGGCAACACTTTACCAGCATTGAAGCAGGAATGTCCGGTACGCTTCAGACACGTGGTCTGGTTGGTGTGTGGAAGACGTGTGCCGCCCTTCGTCGACGCCAATCGTCCTGTGGAAACATAATAATGAAAATATTAACGTTGAACTCTTAATGAGCGAAATGATGCGAACCACATGGGTATGTTGGTTGTTTTTTGTATACCGTGGCTTCTATCATCAGCACTACAATTACCACCCAGCGTCCTTACTGACAATGTATAATTCAGCACACTAATACCGTGTACAACTATATCTACCCAAACCTTTATGTTTTGTAGCCTAAACGAGAATTAGTGTTAGCGATGGACTATTTGATACTCTGGGGGTCTATGTTTTTAATTAAACCTAAGAGCCTAAATATATTTTTCTGAAAAATACCTTGCAACAATGCAATTTTTGTGGCAGGACTATTTCTCCTCTTTTACAAGAATACTCTGGGATAATTCATTTTTTTGCGATAAAAACCCATGCCTGACCCTCCCTCCCCCCCCCCCCCCCCCCCCCCACCACCACCACCACCACCACCACCACCCATCCCCTACACTCCACCCACCCAACCCCCCAACCCCACCCCGTAATTGCCAGTACTTTGTTAGATATTATATTAGTGAAATATGTAAACATGTAATAACGTACCTCCAGATGATGTTCGGAGTTCGGCCGCCTCTTTCTTGGAACCTCCGTAGACGTTGCTGCCGTCGATGTAGGCGGTGAGGGCGTTCAGCTGCTCTCGGCGACACCTCTCTGTTCGAGTACACACTTTTGTCAATTAATCATTCAGTTTTATTAAAGAGTCACAGCAATATTGGCAAAGTATTGTTATTGTACAAATATTTCATCAAATCGACACGGCATCGATCTTTGGAATAATAGTAATGATGTCGACAGATCTGTAAGGTTTTTGCACGGTTTTGTATATAAACTGCCGGGCAAAAGAAAGTATTCATCCATGTTTGATGGAGGCTTAAAATTGTAACAAACAACAAATGGTTATTCGATCGTGAGGTATGTGTAGTAGTGTTTTGCACCTCACGTTTTTAGTGTTTCGGCGACTGTTTTCAACCTAGGAACGTTTTGGTAACATTTTGTCCTGTCACATCCAAGGTTCAATTGTATGCTTTCTTTAATCCAGCAGTTTAGTTGTGTAAATACTGTTGATCGAAGCCATGGTCATAAGTGTCTGTCGTCACGATATGGCTGCAATTTTGCCGATGTGACGTTAAACTTTAACTCACTCACTCATAAGTGTCTGTCGGGCCTAAGGGAAACAACTCTGCACACCAAATTGCCACACAGGAGCCAACCGTATATGTACATTGTGTATATGGTATAGGCGATATCTTAAGACTGGAAATGAACTCATCGAATATAAATATTTTCCAACATTGTGCAGGAGTGAGTAAGTGAGTGAGTGAGTGAGTGAGACAGTGAGTGTGTGAGTTGGGTTTAACGCCGCTTTTAACAGTATTCCAGTTACATCACGGCGTGTCAGCTTAATGTGGGAGGAAAGCCCGAAGTGATGCAGGTCTCAGACGTTTACCATTTCGGTGAAACCCACGAGCACGGGTATGGTGCTGACAAACCTAGAAACATAATCGGGGCGAACAGGGATTCGAACCCACAATCATAGGTTTCTGGCGTGCCCAAGGGACCTACTTATAAATATAACCTATAAATCATATATGTTAAAGTTATAGAGTTGTCCTACCTAATGTAGTCCTTAGAGGCTGGGACCGACTAAACTCCATACAGTTCCTGAACTGTCTGTCTCCGGTCGGAATCGGTATAGGGAAGCAGGGGCCACTGTAATCAAGAGGTTCCATGTTCCAACAAACAGTGATTTTCCGAGACTTTGGTTTAAGCCAACGAGCACCGATGTCCCCCGATACAGTAAGGTGACATTGAATAACGATCAGCAGATCCTGACCTGACCAAGAGGCGCAACTTGGACAGCTTCAAAATCCTACTTTAAGTCGTATTAAATTAATGTGACCTACAATCCGAAAAATACAATCTCCTAGAAATCCTGGAGTTCGAGATCAACCAACTGACATTGGGTCCATTATATTGTGTCTTAAAAGTATTAAAAGGATAGCACTGTTGTACCAGAACATTTTTGTCCTATATAAGGACAACGTGCTCATATGCCTGCTGCCTTTAATGATTAAACACAATTATTTAAATGTATAAAATGTGTGATCAGCAAATTATTTGTATCACCATTTTAGTGAACTGGGGCCTTATCACAAACCGACCGTAACGCTCGACCGTCGTAATTCTATGCCAATAGTACAGTCGTTACAAGTCGTAGCCTACGCTGTGAAATGAAGTTGTCGCCATGCTTGTGTTCAAGACGTTGCTGGTCTCACAGAGGTACCCGTCACTACTTACTCAGACTGGTAGTCACTGTGGACGCCATTCGTAGCCATTCCGGGGCAACAGGATTTCGCTGGAAGTAGAGTTTTAGAGACGAATATTGCGCTGCCACTATCAATGCAGTAACATTGTCGATTATCAAATAAGAAATTTGTTAAAGAAATATAGTTAGTAAGACATCGTTTGATTAGACGTAATCGGGCAGATTTTAAATGTGCCATAGGATTTGATTTCAATTAATTAAATTGATAGAGTTGATTTCTGTGTAAAGAGCGTATTTGTAATGCTTTGATTTAATGGCATACTGACGCGGTTGTTTCATTTATTTGTGATTTTGGTTTATTTATTTCTTAAAAAATGCGTATTCTTTTCACCAATATTAATGACATCATAAATAGGGGATTTCCCAAATCGTCGGGACCGCGGTCAGTAAAAATCACGGCTGGCAGATCACTGTTCAAAGACCTGGATGGTGAAATCCAAGTCCATTACACTGACAGATATATGAGCATCATTTGGTCGATTTGACTAAATCAGTAAACAAAGGCGTGTGGCACTGAATGATCGGGTTAAACCTACAATTTTTATTTAACTAAGTCGTAAATATTGCAAAGAAAAACATTCTAGACCTCTCTGTAAGTGCAAACCTATTAGAAGTGAGCGAGTTTAGTTTTACCCCTCTTTGAACTATATTTCAGTTAAATCAAGGCGCATCAGCTTGATGTGGGAGGAAAGACCGAAGCGAAGCAGGTCACGTTCACAACTTTCAGTGCTGACCACACGAATCAAGAATTCGATGCCACGATCCTCTGATCCTGGATTGCTTAAGGGATGCAACTCTGCTCGGCGTTCCTTAAGACGACCAGACCATCCGTGCTCCGCCAGACTCGTTCAGTATCAAACTCACGACATAAATGTTCTCACCGTCAGTTTTTGGCGTCCCCGTCAGGTCGTGGTCAAGGAACTGACCCCACTGCATCATCATCCTGGTGAATTTCTTATCCTCTGTCGCCTTACTGTCGTTGGTGAAACACTCCACACTGACCACCCTGGCGCTGGGGAGGGGCTCTTTGTTACCCGCGAACAAGCGAGGGCTACCTTTATCTAAACAGAAGCCAAACTGCTAAAAAAAAATTCAATATCCTGATGTAGTCATTGGTGTAAGTCTGTGCATTCACGTCCGGTAAGTATTCTGCATTAAAAAGAATATATACACCTTTTTACTTTTATTAATAAGTGATTTTCGCGAACACCTGATATCATCACTAATTGATACTGATTGATTGATTGATTGATTGATTGATTGATTATTGTTTACACCACACTCAGCAAACTTCCAGTTATATGACGGCGGTCTGTAAATATTCGAGTCTGGACCAGACAATCCAGTGACTGACATCATGCGCATCGATCCACGCAATTGGAACACCATGAAATGCAACAACCAAGTCAGCGAACCTGACCACCCGATCCCGTTAGTCGCCTCTTCCGACAAGCATAGTCGCCTTTTACGGCAAGTATGGGTTGCTGAAGACCTCTTCTACCCCGGATCTTCACGGGTCCATACTGATTGATAAACATTGGTTAAGGTATAGTCGGACTCTGCATTGGGCAGAGATCTCGTATGATTATGGAAATGTTTTTGTCGCTTTTATTATACACACAGAGTCGTATAATGAACAAAGGTAAGGTCGAAGTTTCAGCTTATGCCGCGGAGTCCTTAGTTAGTACCATCCGTTTTGTCGAGTGTACATCTCAAATTTGTATTGTGGAATTACGACAAACGGGATTAAGAAAATACAGTATATTGGTTAATGTAGTGTATAAGTATTCACCATCGTCATATTTGGGGTCAAGGAGTCTCCTCATCCCTTGTAATGGCGCTCCCCAGTTCGGATTCTTAATATTGTTACACACGCCATCTAGCGGCCGGTATTTGAGGTTGTTCACACATTTTCTGAATAAAAAGCATGCAATGGTGAAGCGTTTACGCGTTGTTCACTGAGCATACATTCAGATGGCGATCATGACAGGAAGCAAACATGTTTACTAATTGCCACTAGTTAAAAGTTACTTTACTCAAGACGATCAACGGATTGAAGATTGCTTTAATTAATGGATCGTTTGCCATCAAATATAAATTTTAAATATAAATTGAGTTTTAAAGCAACGTTATATCCGTTAAACCGTTAAACAATGTTAGGCCAAGAAAATACACAATATGATCAGATACAAAAATTCTCTTTCTACTTTTGTCTATCGAATGCCAGGAAACTATTAAATCAAAATGAACCCCGTGTCTCCGGGACACGTATAATTACTGTTATTTCCCCTTGATGGTTATGATGACGATTACCGCGCCACAACGCTTAAGACCTTGTGAGGAATCAAAAAAGGCAGTTTTGTTGTATGTAAAGTATATAGATTAAAATACAGATGGGGGTACATCTGCCCAATCCTACGTTGCTATTCTCTCGCTCAACTTAGCCCGTTGTTGGGCCAGGTTGAGGTCAAATCTAGTGCCCTCGTTCAAGATCTTTATGCCTTCAGCTACTTCCGGTATATTCTGGTCGATACTCCGGCTACCTGTAAACATAGAAGTGATCATATTTGAGAGAGTGAGTTAGGTTTAATGCTAATTTTACAGTATTCCATTATACCACGGTCTCCCAGCCTAATGTGGGAGGTAGGCACAAAGTGATGCAGGTCTTAGACGTTTACCACTTTGGTGAAACCCTCGATCACTGGTATGGTGCTGACAAACCTAGAAACATAATCGGGGCGAACCGGGATTTGAACCCAAAATCATAGGTTTCTGACGTGCCCAATGGATGCAACTCTGCACAAGCGAATTGCAGCGCCTCAGACGACTGGGCCTCTGTTCCCCGAGACGTGACCATGGGTCAGTTGGTCAGGTATTTCAGTCATACCACGGCGTGACGACTTTTGCTGATTAAACCTAGCATCACAGGCATGGTGTGAAAGATCAGGGCGAATCTGGGATTTCGAGTGAGTGAGTGAGTGAGTTGGGTTTAACGCTGCTTTTGACAGTATTCCAGTCATATCACGGCGTGTCAACTTAGTGTGGGAGGAAAGCCCGAAGTGATGCAGGTCTTAGACGTTTACCACTTCAGTGAAACCGACGAGCACGGGTATGGTGCTGACAAACCTAGAAACATAATCGGGGCGAACCGGGATTCGAACCCACAATCATAGGTTTCTGACGTGCCAAATGGATGCAACTCTGCACAATCGAATTTCGGCGCCTCAGACGACTGGGTCACCCGTGCCCCCTTGGGATTTCGAAACCATGATAATAAGATCCTGTCCTCCATTGAGAAGAAAGCCTGCAAAGCCTGCAAAGCTAAGCGCGTTATTTCATGAACGTTTTCGGCAGAATGTGAAAACAGAGTTGGCTCCGCGCCTGCGTATTCCCACTGCATCGCTCTCTATATGTCATAGCCAAATTATTTAAGTGGCATTTTTGAAGTTGTGAAGTTACTGAAGATAAAGTTAACTTATTAATTAAACTTTCAATGAGGAAAGCGTCCGTCCGGAGAGCGGAAGGTCGGGGGTTCGATCCCAGGCCACGTTATACCAAAAGACGTTAAGAGTGGGGTTTTCATGTTTAACTGTGACAGGGAATCTTAGTGGGCTAGCACTATAAAATCGGCACTAGTCCGGACTAATGCAAGCAGCTACACACGCAGACGTGCATGCATGTCGCTATATAAGTGCAATAACCATGAACGCGACGTTAAACCCCATTTCACCTCCCCTTCTTTCAATGCGAGGTTCCAGTTCGCATGCCAGTAATTATTAATCGATAAGTACTATAATATGTACCAAAACGTCGCATTGAAAGAATAAAGAAAACAAAACTGTCATCATGTAATTGCAAGGAACCAATGGCATCATGGGCATATGTCCAAGGCCCCACTACAAACTAACTTTGACATTTAAAACACTTAGAAATGTCATACCGTATTCGACGTAATAAGCGCCCCGATCTAATAAACGCCCACGGCGATATTCGCTTATATATTGGCTAGTGAACAATCCGAATTAGCACCCTTCCGATTGATCAATGTACACAAGACTTATTTATTCGTGTATAATACGCACTCGTGTGTTAAATGCACCCTTAATTACGGGCAATTAAATTCTGGAAAAATATATCTGTCGTGTATAATACGCACAGGCGTTTCTTTTGTATCATTTCAGGCTGTCAGTATAAACCACGAAATTAACGATCTTTCAACTCTTTCACCAATATAATAAGAGCCCCCTATTTCTAATTTTGAGAGCACCCTGCTCGCTTATTACGTCGAATATGGTAATTCTAAATATTAATTGGGTTTTGTGCGGACACCTGGATTAATACCTATCTCGTGAATTAGGTTAACTTAGCATGATCAACTGAATAAATCGAAACAGCGAGAATTTATAACCATTCTGATTCTCATATTATGTTTAGAAAAATATGTGACATGTAATTATATTAAACATTTCAAATACTATTTCATCAAAACAGTTGTGTGAGTGGTGCCCTTTTAGGAATAAAAATAAAAGAAATGAAAAAGTTATTAATACGAAGTAAGAAAATCATTTACCGGCAGCACCAGCGATGCCTGCAACAAACAGCGTCACCAGGAACATGTTGAATATTGTCTCCCTTCCCCAGGAACCCCTCTCCGCACTGACGTCCTGCGATGGCAATAGTAACGTATATATAGCGTTTGGGGGACTGCGTCATAGAGGACCGTGAAACGGATGTGTGGGTGTCGTGATCTCATTGGTTGAAAAAACGTTAATTTTCAATTAACACAGAAATCGATGGTTTCTTTTCATTGCTCTGTTAAAATGCAACTTTGTTTTGTATACGTCGTAAAATGAGATATGGTAGGTGAAATTCGAAAAGACACCCCGTTATTCCTGACGGTGCCCTTCTCCGATTGCCCTGTTTAACAAGTTTCAGTGATAATCAATTATCGGAACGTCGTTGTGAAATAAAGAACAAACATATATATCATTTTTATGCAAATTGTGTGAGTAGCGGTAAAGCAGAACATGATACCCCTTTCACACCTGGTGTCATCCCTGGTTTTCAGTGTTCCAATCATATAATTTTCACTGCTCTTTTGCCTTTTTTACGGCCAATGGAATCTGTTTCTGTCGATAATGGAAACTGCAAAGATTCTGCTGCATATGTGTAAAGAAAAGCTTCAAAATATTATGTTCGTTTTGCAACAAAGTAGGGCTGGAGGTTAAGGTGGGGTTGGGGGTGGAATTGGTGGCAGGGGGTGGAATGGTAGATCTCGGCCAAAGCTGTAGCGAACAAGCTGCATGTGTTGATCAATCACTATCATTCTGCTCCACCGGTGGCGCCCGTCTGGCTTTGGCTAGGACAGTTGGTTTGTTGTTTAACGCCGCACTCAGCAATATTCCAGCAATATGACGGCGGTCTGTAAATAATCGAGTCTGGACCAGACAATCCAGTGATTAATATCATGAACATCAATCCACGCAATTGGGATCGATGACATTCATCAATTCAGCAAGCCTGGCCACACGACAAGCATAGTCGCCTCTTACCTCAGGCATGGGTTGCTGAAGATCTATTCTAACCCGGATCTTCACGGTATTCTAATTCTGTTTCTTTTTCAGTTTGTACATTCTACCAATGACAACATCACGCACTTCTCTGTTATACTATTTTTGGGCATATGCTCCACAATTATTTCCTATTATTTATCCCATTTGTTAGCAGGTTGCGAGGGAGGATAATATGGTCCATATTTGACAAAGTAGGTGCTGACGGTAGGACAGGTGAGGTGAAATTGGGTTTAACGTCGCGTCCAAGATTATTGCACTTATATAGCGACGTGCATGCACGTGTGTGTGTGTGTGTGGCTGCTTGTACTAGTCCGGACTATTGCCGATTTATAGTGCTAGCTCACTGAGATACCATGCCGCAGTTTAACATGAATTCCCCACTCAGACACAGTATACTGACTCCGAGCCGACCAGTCCTTGTTTTAGCCCCTTAATGCCGAGCGCCAGACAGGGTAACAACAAGTACAATCTTTTAACGTCTTTTTGTATGACGCGGCCCGGGATCGAACCCTGGACCTTCCGCTCTCCGGGCGGACGCTCTACCACAAGACCACGGAGGCGGTCGACGGTAGGACAGGACATGCTTTCGCTTTTCGCGAACACCTGGTGTCGACACTGATTTTCAGTGGTCCATTTGCATATTTCTTACCGCTTTTTGCCCTTTCCACAATTTGAGGTATTTACATCATGAGCTGTTCTGTAACGTTCTTCAACGCTTTCCTATAATTGAACAGTAAATTGTCGTTGTTCCTGTTGGTGGTTCCTGAAATTTGAAATATTGAAGGACATTTAAAGGAAACTGATTTTGGGCTGAGAATGTTACTTAAGTTAAAGCATCAATTCCCTTGTATGATAATTTTCAAATTCAGTGGGCTTGTCTCTGAATTTGTTTCTGACTTGACCAAACGTTTCAAAGCAATGTTTCTCTTCGAAACTGTGAGCTCTTAATGCTTGTAGACTCATCCATCACCAAACGTTGCTAGAGTCATTTCATTTCTTTCAAGGACACAGGGTATAGTCTTGATCTGACTTTGTGAAGATCCGGGGTAGAAAAGATCTTCAGCAACCTATGCTTTGTTAAAGCCGTAAAAAGCGACTATGCTCGTCGTAAGAGGCGACTAACGGGATCGGGTGGTCAGGCTCGCTGACTTGGTTGATGCATGTCATCGATCCCAATTCTGTGGATCGATGTTCCTGCTATCAATCACTTGATTGTCTGGTCCAGACTCTATTATTTAGACCGCCGTCATATTCCTGGAATATTGCTGAGTGCGGCGTTAAACAACAAACCACCACCAACAACAACGACTTTGTGCAGTCCAAATTGTTCCTACAAGGAGAGGAAACTTATATTTAAAATGAATGGCATCATGTGACCTTGTGAGACGTCTTTGGAATGCCGGAAGCTCAATACATTGACGATGGCAGAATGTCAACGTATTCTATTTTGTCCGTACATATGTACATATGACAATCCTGTACACGATGGTCGAATCCGATGCTTTTTCTTGACATCCTATAAGATCGACTTTATTTAAAGGCAACTAGGTAGATATTATATTTTCTCTAATATCCTAACGTTTATGGACTGGATGAGGTGTTTTCAGAAATGAAATGTTGGCAGACACAATTAGAACCATTTCTGATGGTGCCCGATCTATGACTAAACTGTGTTGATAATTTCTGCTTTGTCTCGCCAACATAAATCAATCCACAACGAGTACATTCAATGGTAGAGATGTCGGTTTAAGTCTTCAAAACAAACCATTGTCATTCATTGTTTATGACGTCATAGACGATTTGATGTGACGTCGTTCCATCATTTAAGCTGGTATCTCTACTTGTGATCTGGAAACCAAGGTTTGTCCATATTTTCTTTAGAAAGACAAAGGTTAATATACAGAATGATTTACGAGCTACATGGAAATATGATTATCGAACCCCTTGAATTAATGTTGGAAGCAAAAATATATTCACTCTGGAGAAATTACTCGTAATTCCTCGGAGATCGTGTGTTATTATTTACGTGTGCAAACGAAATATACCTTTTAACTTTCGTACAGATGTTACCAGTACAAATGTGAATGCAAACAATCAAATGCGTTTTGATTAATATCTATTTAGTTTTGCGCTGTACCTCGGTAAATGTAATTTCCAGATACCAAGCCTTTAATCTTTTATAATGTTTGTCTCCTAAACTAGACTTTCCAGTCAACTTTCCAGTCACTGATATAGCAGTCATAGACCAAAAAGTGCAACATACTTACAGTTAAATTCAAAACGTCAACGTCAACGTCAACGTCAACGTCAACATCAGTCTCGAATCCTTGCTGAAACTGTTTTGATAGAGCTTAAAGGTCAAAATTAGATTAATTGACGGAGGGTTTTCGTTATTATTTTTTGTTTCTTTGTTTGTTGTTTAACGCAGCACTCCAGCTATATGACGGCGGTCTGAAAATAATCAAGTCTGGCCCAGACAATCCAGTGATTGACATCATGAGCATCGATCCACGCAATGGGGATACGATGACATGTATCAACCAAGTCAGCGTGTCTGACCATTCGATCCCGTTAGTCGCCTCTTACGACAAGCACAGTCGCCTTTTGTTGCTGAAGAATTATTCTACCCGGGATCTTCACGGGTGGTAATTGTGTAGAATGTTTTTTTTGTCAACATACTCTTTTTATGAATAGCATCAGCTGGACGTATTTTATTCCATATTGATATTCAGCCTTTCTCAAGAAATTACACTTCTTCTATGAACTTGACAAGGATTGATATGTAAAATGCCGGGCAAAAGAAAGAATACTCTTAAAAATTGGATTTGAACAAACTGTTACAGACGTTATCAAAACGTTGCTTGGCTTAAAGCAGTAGCCAAACACTGCAAACCAAAGGTCCCAAACACTACAAACCAAAGGTCCCAAACACTACAAACAAAAGGTCCAAAATACTGCAAACAAAAGGTCCCAAACACTGCAAACAAAAGGTCCCAAACACTGCAAACAAAAGGTCCCAAACACTGCAAACAAAAGGTCCTAAACACTGCAAACAAAAGGTCCCAAACACTACAAACAAAAGGTCCTAAACACTGAAAACAAAAGGTCCCAAACACTGCAAACAAAAGGTCCTTAACACTGCAAACAAAAGGTCCCAAACACTGCAAACAAAAGATCCTTAACACTGCAAACAAAAGGTCCCAAACACTGCAAACAAAAGGCTCTAAACACAATTATGATACCTATCTTAAATACTTCACCATCAAATTTGCACTTCTTGTTTGCTTCATTTTTACCCACCACAAAGCATGAGTATATGCTTTCTTTTGCCAGACAGTTCATTAATGAATTATTGACGGAATGAAATTTATTGGGAGATACAATCGAACTTTTTCTGTTCGGTACAATACGACATACTGTTTTTTCTGAGTTAATGAGTTAGAAACTGACTTAATAAACCTAGAAAATAACATATACTGAATCTGGTCTTCTGTTAACAAAGTTGACAAAGTGTTAAACACATTTTCATAGGTTCGCCGTGCAGAGTTGCGTCCCTTGGGCACGCCAGAAACCTATGATTGTCGGTTCGAATCCCGGTTCGCCCCGATTATGTTTCTAGGTTTGCCAGCACCACACCCGTGCTCGTGGGTTTCACCAAAGTGGTAAACGTCTGAGACCTGCATCACTTCGGGCTTTCCTCCCACATTAAGCTGACACGCCGTGATATAACTGGAATACTGTTAAAAGCGGCGTAAAACCCAACTCACTCACTCACTCATTTTGATAGTTGCTCATTTACTTCCTGGTCACATTTACGGGGAACTGTTTCACCAATAAGGTTGCAATGATTCTTTGGCAACATAATATGGCAGGTGTAACATCTTGTAATACCACCACAATGACATGTAGTCAACACCAAGCAGGTACTCTTCATAAACATTGTCTCAATGACACATTGAGGGTAAATATGACATTATGCTGTTATTACAACGTGTTGCAAATGAAAAATTGCACAACCATCATAATTTATTTTGTCATAGTATACTACCGTCTCGATTTACAATCAATTCTAAAACCCCTCGATTATAATGAATATAGTGTCAATAAACGATTTTGTCATATAGTAACGTCTCGGTTTACCATCAATTCTTTTAACGATTTACCTTTTAGAAGTGTGGGTTGAATAACCAATTTTGATACAAGTAGTTATCCTGCGATGCAAGCTGTTGAATCATTGAGAAGATCCGGGTTGAATTGTTCCGTGAACCTAAACAGGGACTGCTTCTGTTTGGACCATCAGCTAGTCACAGCCAACCTAGTAACCAAACGTACCAGAACCGTCTCTGAATGTTGATATATACTGAATGTTGATATGTTGAGTCAAATTAAAAACTTCACATTTTTAAAAGTAATCCAATATATGGTATACAACGGACAAATGTATCAGAGAAGGTAATTTTTATCATTAATGTCCAAAGAAGGATTTTAATTAACGGTGGTAACCATAATTTGTTCCAAGCACCTACGGTATTCGGTAATAACATCAACAGTTTAAATCATAAGTCTCAAGCACGAGAATCTGATGGCACACAAGTTCAGTAGCGTGTATGGCCACCATGTGCGTTGACAACTGCCACACAACGCCTCCGCATGGACCTTGTGATGCTTGTGAACACATGATTGGGAAGACGACGCCATTGTTGCTGCAAAATGGTGCCAAGATCTTGCAAGTTCTGTGATGGTTCTGGAGAGTGCACAGACTTCTGCCAAGAGCATCCCAGACGTGTTCGATGACGTTGACGTTGACTCCAGCATTCTGAAGGAAATTCCTTGTCAAAATTGCTGTGTAGGGTGTGGCATTGTCGTGTTGGAAGATCAAACCGAGTCCATATATATGCTGCCATAAAAGGCAGAAATTCTGGTGCCAGTACCTGGTCGCGGTAAGCAGCAGCGTTGAGGTTGCCTCGGATGTCAAGAAGCCTGGAACGTGCATTGCCACAGAAAACACCCTACACCATGACACACCGAAATCTGTCAACTTTCTGTACACAACACTGGGCGTAACGTTCATGACGGCGCCTCCACACCCTCGCCCTACCATCAGCAAATCGAAGATTAAATCGGGATTCATCACTGAAGACGACTTGATTCCAATTCCTCTGAATCCATCGTAAGTGTCGCTGTGCCCACAATTGACGTTGACGTCTGTGTAATTGAGTCAGAATCGGCCCGCAGTATGGCCGTCGTGCTTGAAGGTGAGCAATTCTCAGACGGTTTCGAACAGTTTGCGCACTCAGTCTACCCCTAAACAGTTCATTTCTGGTTGATGTAGCCGTCAAAAATCGGTTACGGAGGTGACGTAAGACAATCTGACGATCCTCAGCATGTGACGTCACACGTGGTCGACCTGGCCGAGGGCGATCAGCGGTGGTACCCGTTTGCTGTAGACGCGTCTGTAAATCATAAACAGTCCGTCGACTACAACCCATCGTCCTTGCGACTTTAGCTACGGACGTTCCCGTCTGCAACATGCCGATGGCACGTTCACGTTGCACATTTGAAATGCATGGCATGACAAATGGCCGTAAAGACTTTTGTTTTCTTGTGTTTTTCTTTTTTTTTTGTTGATGACTGCTAACAAGTATGGCTGAAAACACGTGCGGTATTACGGCCACGTGACCAGTTGCACGTGAAAAACCAGTTTTGCCACTATAGTGCTGTGCACATGATTTTGATCGATTCACCTGCACAAAAACGGGTGTTGTCTGAAGACAATACGTGGCCATTACTGTTTAAATACACAATAAGGTTGACTTGGTTGATGCATGTCATTGGATCGATGCTCATGATAACAATCACAGGATTATCTGGTCCAGACTCGATTATCTTCAGACCGCCGTCATAGAGCTGGAATATTGCGGCGTTCAACAAACAAACAAACAAACAAAATGTACCGCCAGCTTCTCACACAATTAGTATAATAATATGTTGTGACGCTGACGCCGCAATGCAGTGTACATGTCATAAGATGGCGGCCTGTTAACTATCGAGTCTTGACCTAAAGTTAAGGCAGAGCTTACAAGCTCATGTGACCGTTGTAGACATTGAAACAAATTAGGTTGGGAAGCCTCCGCCATCCGTTCGTTAATGACATAATGTTCAGATAACAGTATGGTATATTTGATTAAACTTCGTGACATATGATATTTCCGGTAACATAATCAGAACTGTGTATCATATATAAAATAACTCGCTCCTCTGTAAAACAGATCTTACGAAATGAGTGAATAGTTTATCTGATATCTGACGAACGAGTTTCATAAAATTGGTATTAGACGGGAGCGAGTTAAATATTTTATTCATTACTTGCCATTTAAAACTTTTTTTAGAATTTCACTGTCGTGTGTGAATAGGCAGACATCTACACGATCCACAGCATAATCCTATTGAGTTTAACAGAAACATACTTCAAACACATCAAAAGTTGACAAGTATTAATTTGACATTATACAACGGCCCACTTTTAGAGACCGCCTCCGTGGTCTAGTGGTAGAGCGTCCGCCCGGAGCGCGGAAGGTCAGGGATTCGATCCCCGGCCGCGTCATAACAAAAGACGTTAAAAGATGGTACTTGTTGTTACCCTGTCTGGCGCTCGGCATTAAGGGGCTTAAACAAGGACTGGTCGGCTCGGAGTCTGTATACTGTGTCTGAGTGGGGTATTCATGTTAAACTGCGACATGGTATCTCAGTGAGCTAGCACTATAAATCGGCATCAGTCCGGACTAGTACAAGCAGCCACACACACACACGTGCATGCTAGTCGCTATATAAGTGCAATAATCTTAGACGCGACCTTAAACCCCATTTAAGCTCACCTCACCCCACCTTTAGAATTCAGGTGTCCATTCCACAACGTTATCGTAGCGCTAAGGTTATCTTGACCCACATACTTTAACTGTCGTTGCGGTACAGTAAGATCGCCTTGTGGGACGGGGCAAATTACCACAAAGTTTACAGTCACGTCACAATGCCCTATGACGTAGGAGACACCGGCGAAACAATGCCATGTTTGGTTCGTGAAAATAGGCACGCGCTTTGGTATTACACAATGTGTAATACAGCTGTATGTTTACTAAACCGGTGATCTCTTCACGGGCAAGTTATAAAGACATGTATGCCCCCCATTCACCATAGGATACAATGTATTTATTACTTGCCCGTGAAGAGATCACCCGTTTAATTAACATACAGCTGTATTACACATTGTGTAATACCAAAACGCGTGCTTATGTACTCTCGGAACACGTTTCACGAACAAATATTGAAAGCTCTCAACATCCCTTGGCTTGTTCAACGACATTGCGTGTGGAGATGATAGATCACTGAGAGGAGCTTATGCACACTCGATGACCCCAGTAACCTTGTTGCTAGGTTGAGGTCACATGGCATTGTTTCGCCGTAGGATCTTGCAACAAAATTCCACAAATGACGTCATCGGGTATTGTGACGTGTTGTCAACTTTGAGGTGCAAGGCCCCGTTCCACAAGGCGATCGTACGGTAGCGCAACTACAGTCGTTGGTCTAAGTTAAAGTATATGAGTTGCAACAACTTTAAACGCTACGATAATTTTGTGGAATGGACCCCTGAATTCTAAAGGTGGACCGTTGGATGGTATTAAATTGATACGTTTCAACTTTTGACGTATTTGAAGTATTACTGTGTTAAACTCAGTTGGATTATGCCGTGGATCGTGTAGGTGTCAGCCTATTCACACTCAACAGTATAATTCTAAAAACGTTATAAAAGGCCAGTAATAAATAAAATACTAAGCTCGCTCCCGTGTAAAACCAATTTTATGAAACTCGTGAACAGTTGTGGTATCTGACGAGCTTTCGCTCGTCAGATACCAGAACTATTCACTCGTTTCATAAAATTGGTATTACACGGGAGCTCGTTTAGTATTCTATAAATCTTATAAATGAAATATGGGGCACGAATTGCCAAGACTCCTAAGGTGCGTACATTCACTGTGATTCACTTTGAACTCCACTTTCCCCTTATCATAAACTGACGGCCAAAAGAACCTTTACCATAGTTTTAAATCACTCTAGTTTAAAAACCACAAAAGACAGATTCGTGAAGTAAAATGTATTGAAAAGATCAGAAGATCTTAAGGAAATCAACATTTAAAATGACAGTCATACAGTATCTGAGTGAGTGAGTATGGCTTTGCGTCGCTTTTAGTAATATTCCAGCAATATCACGGCGGGGAACACCAGAAATTGGCTTCACACATTTTACCAATGTCGGGACTCGAACCCGCGTCTTCGGCGTGACGATCGAACGCTTTGACCACTAGGCTACCAGACCGCCCCTACAGCATCTGAGGTACGGTAGCAAAACCAAGCTTTCAACGTAATGGACAGAGGGCAGACCCATCTAAAATCGCTCAAGTTCAATGACACGTCACATTAATAGCGTGTGGCCATCCCCTGACACAAGAGACGCAAACAAGTCGTCTGATGGCGTCACGTGACATACGTCGCCGTTTCTTGTTGGAGGGCCTGGACCAGCTCCTGTCGGTTCGCTGGAGGATGTGGTCGCTGTCGAACAGGACGATACGTGACATCCAGGTGTTCTTTGGGGGACATGTCTGGGGATCGTGCAGGCCACGGCCACGGCCTACAGGTTCTACACCCACATTAAGCTGAGACCCCGTAATATAACTGAAATACTCTTCAAAGCACCATTAACCAAACACACTCACTTACTCACATATATAAGCTTAATGTAGCGAGTTTAACAAGAAAATTGATTACACAAAGTATAACTCTAGAACCACGTCAATAATTGGTAAAATTAACTTAAACGTGGAGGAGAGGTTGGTATCAGCTATGAAGCAGGGCGACCGTTTTTGCCCCATCCTCCAGGCTCCACGATTATATGACGTCATATGCCGGCATGCTGGTTTACATATTAAGCAGTGGTGCAATAGCTGGGAAAGCCGTGCTATAACCATAACAACAACCGCCACCACCACCAGGATCCACCTTCTTGCTTCAAACGACGATCGTAAGAGAAGATGTATGGTACACAGAGTATTTTATACTCATCTATTGACAGGGATATTTTGCGTGCCCAGTTAGGGTTGAATGCCTGGGATATAAACCTAATTTGAAACCGAGCGCTTTAGGGAGAGGTTTCAAATGTATAAATAAGCGGTAGATGCTCTACTGTGGGGCTACATCAAATTTCAAAACAGAGTAGGTGTATCCCTCTCTAACATTGCAGCAAGATCGCTTTGAAAACGCTTGAAAAACGGGTACAGGTTGGTTATAAATGTAACAAATATCACTAAAGTTCAACATTAAAATACACATAGTCTTGACCAGTTCAAAAAAGGGTTCAAAACACAATTTTAATTTCATTGCAATCTGTTGTGCACTGTTTGGACTCACCGCGTCATTTTCTTGTAAATCGAATATGCCATTTCGCATTGTAGGGTGACAGGTTGAAGAAATATCAGCGTTTTAAAACATGCTGAACGAATTTATACTCCATCAGACTTTATGCATTAACTGCCTACTATTCATTTGAAATGTGTAAGTCTCAGGAGTTAGTTAGCAATTACCCCCAGTCAATAATACAAATTCCAAATAAATGCCGTTACTCACAACCGTCAATGGCTGCCAATGTCTTTTGTGTGCCTCAGACAAGTAACACGAAGCAAGATGACAACCTGTCGTGCTCCAGCTCTACTGGCAATCCCATTGTACTAACTGGCTCATTCCCAGTAAATCTACACGTTAATGGTGGATATGAGGTGGTACAGCGTGATTGCCAATGAAACTGTAGCATCACTTTTTCAGGCTATTTTGACAGGAGGGATTGGAATTGACCTGTTAATATCAAAATTTCACGGCATTCAGCGCGTGAATGAAATGTGACAGTTGTGGCCCAAAGTCAGTAGTTGGTGTATGATTTGCTAAATTGTGTGTGTTCTGAAATGAGTTTAATCAAGTTTGATAAGTTGTTATGATCAAGTTCCTGTACTGTGACTTCACTTTCAGTGAACTCGGGACATTGTTTTCAAATCCCCACCTGCCAAATCCTACGGTGGTGGTTGACGGAGATGGCTGTGAATATCGATCACGAAAAGGTTTGTAAACATGTTGTCATGTAAAAAGCCCTTTTTTATTAGAAACCCAGCTTGTAATAGCGGAAGTATCGATATGTTTTACAGCTCCAGTGGGTGATCGATCGGCAGCCATTTTTGTATTGAACACAATCTTCATACAACACATTACAATGCTGACTTAAGAAATGTGCAGAATGATGTAAAAGAACAGGGGTTACTTATGGTTAAGTGGGAACCAGTAGGCTGCAGAGTCGCTTGTAAATCCCAAAGTTCTTTTACAAGTACATGTAAATGGAAAGCCAATAAACTATTAATATATTTCGTCAATTTCCCTCAAAGTCATGGAAAAAAGTGTGGGAAACATGAACTTGTTAATAAATGTTGTTTCAGATATTTCTTTCGGTTTATTAGTCAGATAAACACTATATCCTTCGGGTTTGGGTTACAATGTAAATACTCTGGGACGGGATAACCCTCGGTCCCAGATCCTTCGACCCTCAGGCTCTCTAACGAGTCCAATCAAAATCGCGTAACGAAATCGAAATCCGGTTTGTAAACGGTGGTGCAGAATTCGGTCGATTGCAGGATTTGGCAACTCGGCGTCAGAAGATATTTTCCAAATCTTTTCATGCTTTTAATCAAGGTGCTTACGTGATTTGATACACTTTGCGGTGTAAGACCCGTTTTATCACAATATAGATCGTCTTGACTGTGCGCCGCCATTTTGTTTGAAGCAAATGCAAGTGATACAAGAGGTGGAATCCGATTGGTCCATAGGAGAGGCATAGAAGGGACACAACTCGTAATAGCCACAGGTGGCGATACGATCGAGCCTAGAAATTCCAGTGTAGTTCGGCAAAGGTGGAAACTGAACTTTTATAGTCAGTTAACCTCCTTGCCTCGGGAACATGGGTTAGAATAGGTCTTTAGCAACCCATGCTTGCCGTAAGAGGCGACTAACGGATAGGGTGGTCAGGCTCGCTGCCTTGGTTGATGCATGTCATCGTATCCCCATTGCGCAGATCAATGCTCATGACGTCAATCACTGGATTGTTTGGTCAGATTCGATTATTTACAGACCTCCGTCATATATCTAGAATGTTGCTGAGTGCGGCGTTAAACAACAAACAAACACATCAAAGGTTGAGTATTATGGTAAACTCCCCTCGTTGTCAGAATTCTTTTGTGTCGTGTTTCTTGAAGAAATACTTGATTATAGTATAATGTGCAACAATGATAAACGAAAAGATGGCGTTAGAGGTACTTTTATTCGTATCTTTGTGAAAGTAAAGGGATTAGTCGTAAAGCACTAGAAAACAGAGATCAGCCGGAAAGACAGGTCATGTACAAGGAAAACACAAGGACATACGAATGCGTTTTCAAGTCAGTTAAAGTTTTAAAGAGAGGATTCAATTTTCACGTCACACGGAAATGTCGACTTGAAGTAAAACATACGAACATGGGAAGAAGGACCCTGGATTTCGGAGATCGGCCAGAACAGCCCATAAAAGACTGACGGCGGAATGATGGGTTAGCAAGTTTATGTGAAGGAAGACCTAGCGGAGATCTGGGAGTGGGTGAGTACGTTCATCTGCAAGAAGATATAGCGGAGATCTGAGAATGGGTGAGTACGTTCATCTGCAAGAAGATATAGCGGAGATCTGGGAGTGGGTTAGTGTGCATCAGAAGGAAGACCTGATTTCAAACAGGTTTTAGTCTTTCCATTTCCGGAGCTTGATTGATGGAAGAGTTCTGCACTTCACTTTCATGTTCCTGTAACAAAAAATGTTTCATTTTATTAAACTCATCTTCATCCACATGTTTCATTGTTAGGCTTCATTCTATTGATAAGAGGGGAGGTCGGGTAGCCAAGTGGTTGAAGCGTTCGCTCGTCACGCTGAAGACCCGGGTTCGATTTTCGACATGGGTACATTGTGTGAAGCCACTTTCTGGTGTCTCCCTACGTGATATTGCTGGAATATTGCTAAAAGCGGCGTAAAACCATACTCACTCACTATGGATATGTTCATTAGGTATCTAAAGAACCATAGAGAGGTCAAGGATGTTGGTAGTGGTGAAGTATTTGAGGCTTATTTTGAGTTCCTAAGTGTCGAGGGGGCACGGGTGGCCCAGTCGTCTGAGGCGCCGCGAATCGCCGTGCAGAGTTGCGTCACTTGGGCACGCCAGAAACCTATGATTGTGGGTTCTTATCCCGGTTCGCCCCGATTATGTTTCTAGGTTTGTCAGCACCATACCCGTGCTCGTGGGTTTCATCGAAGTGGTAAACGTCTGAGACCTGCATCACTTCGGGCTTTCCTCCCACATTAAGCTGACACGCCGTGATATAACTGGAATACTGTTAAACGCGGCGTTAAACCAAACTCACTCACTCCTAAGTGTGGAAACCCTTAACTCCATTACACACTCACCCAGCTCCTGTAAGTTTAAAGACATCAGGCTGGATCTTGTTGATTTTGCTGTTTTGACAGATCACTTTAGCCAAGGTCACCTTACTTATTTCATCTATCTGTGCTGAAATGAAAAACAACGTATGTGTTCGGAAAGCATCTTCCATTTTGAACATTCTGATTCTATCACGACATTTAGGAGATAAAATTCCTGTCTTTTCAAAGTTCAGAACGTTATTCTATACCCCTTAAAGTTGATTTATGTCCTGTTTCGAAAAGAAGTGGAATTATTGCTTTCGAGATGCATGGTTCTAATTTCTAATTGGCCTGCCAGCTGTATTGAATCTCGCCTAGATCACCATTTTGTTGATGACCGCATTATCGCGAATGAAAGATAAATTTAGGAGCACTTCTTTCACTTCTTATAAACAAGCATTTTGAAATTATAAAATTACATTCATATACTTGTTCCTATATAAATAATAGGCACAGACCATGACATATTTCAACTTGAATTGTTGTTTCGAACGCCTTATGGGCTATATTGATTCCGCTATGGAAGTCAAAGTAAACGTCCTACCTTGAGTAAACCCGTGATCTGGATCCAGTCCCTCATACCAGAATCGATCCCCGTACCGTAGGTTATGGAACTGTGTTGCGATGATATAAGCAAACGTAGGTCCCACCATAGCTCCCGTCAAATGCTTCTCATTCATGCCGCCCAGGAATAAGTCAACTTGGCTCAGACTCCTGACGTACAACATTAATAGGCAAAATCACCATCTTTGAATATGTATTTCCTATCTGTTGTACCAAGAGAGGTGTTATTTATTTAGTTTGAAGTATTGTATTTTCTGGTAGGTAAAGTAAGGGGTCAGTACAAGATTTTCCGATAAATACTTCGTTACGGGCGGTCAGGTAGCCTAGTGGTTAAAGCGTTCGCTCGTCACGCCGAAGACCCGGGTTCGATTTCCGACATGGGTACAATGTGTGAATCCAATTTCTGGTGTCCCCCGCCGTGATATTGCTGGAATATTGCTAAAAGCGGCGTAAAACCATACTCACTCACTCGTTACAATGTGGGGCGTCCGGCAGTGAGACGGGTGTTAAGACTGATCATATTTGGCTGATTCCCCAACAAGTTGTCATGCGCACACACACAATATAACATCATGCATATAACTTTTCTTACCCCCCTCCCCTAAAATGAGCAGTCCCTTAATAATTTTTCAAATTAAGAACCTTATTTTAATTAACAGAAATATGTCATTTTTTTCATGCAATCCCACGCCTTTCATCGGATATTTGTCCTATCCGGTCTGACCCGTGAAGATCCGGGGTAGAATAGGTCTTCAGTAACACATGCTTGCCTAAAAAGTCGACTATGCTTGTCGTAAGAGGCGACTAACGGGGTCGGGTGGTCAGGCTCGCTGACTTGGTTGATGCATGTCATCGTGTCCCAATGGCGTTGATGCTCATGATGTGAATCACAGGAATGACTGATCCAGACTCGATTATTTACAGACCGATGTCATATAGCTGGAATATTGCTGAGTGCGGCGTTAAACAACAAACAAACAACCAACCTATCCGGTCTTGAATTTGTACGAAAGTTACATACTTACTCATACAGTCCAACGGCACATTTGGGTACATTCACATCCTCAGCAAGGAGATTCTTCATACCAGGTACTTTGGACCACTGGTAGACGAAGTCCATATAAGGAGGCAGTCCATGATCTCTACCTCGTTGAATGTTCAGCGCTACTAGATCAAGACTCACCCCTGGGTTAGACGTGTTCTCAAACAGGTGGTCAGTCACACCTGTAAACAGTGGGATAAATATACAACTGTATCATATAATGGGTAGGTTTCTCGGCAGGATAAAGCCAACGTTTCAAAACGGTCTCCGTCTGGCGTCATAAACGGATAAAGATGCAAATATGAAAGGTCACATAGTTACTACGTTTAGTGTTTACAAACATGGCGTCGCCCTTGTCAATCGGTGATCGAGTCAGAATTTACTATTGGGAATCTGGAGAACTATTGGGATAATCGTTGTAATATACAAAGCAATAGTCAAAGATACCGAAATTATGCGTCTTATTGGGATGTAGCAGAGAGATTTTGTCAAGTTTTGGTAATTTTGGAGATATAATTTATCAACAGTTTAGCGAGGACACTTAGCCTCGCCTGGCGTGATCAGTTTCCATATCG